TTGTAACCCGACACCATTTTGTCGGGCCCGTCCCCGCGAGCGGGCCACGGCGGCGATCGACGGTCAATCGGAAGGGTTGCGGCCGACCGAGATCCCCGCCTCCATTTTGTTGCCGTAACCTGGATCCTCGGTCCTGAATTAAAATAATCCTTAACTTTGTAAAATTAAGTACGATTACTTAAATATCATAATTCAAACTTATAAATTTATTTAAAATTTGGTTTCATCTATGGAATAAATTAACCTGCGCATTCTAGGTGAATTTTTTTCTGGTACAGTAGATAATCAACGTATTCCTAAAATATCTTTTAAATATTTTAAATATGCGTGAAAATGAATAGAATTTCATGATCCTACCAAGGTTTTTGTAACATTAAGTACGATTAATAAAGTATAATAATTTAGACTTATAAGGTTAATTAAAATTGGGTTTCATCTAAAGCGTAAACGTGCGCATTCTAGGCGAATTTTTTTATGGTACTGTAGATAATTAACGTATCCATAAGTTGTCTATTTAATATGCAAGAAAATGAATAGAATTTTATGATCCTACCAAGATTTTGCCGGTATCCATCGCATCGAACACAGTAAAGGTCAAGTTTTCAACTCGACCATGCAGAAATGTGCGCTCATGAATTCTTGTCATATTTAACAGATGAATTAAACCGCTGCATGAAAATTTGTTCACATTTTGTATGATCTTTTCCTCATTTCAAATTACTTTCTCATTTCATAAAATTTATTCAAAAATCACACTTATTAGTATATCATTCCAAAATTAAATATATAGAATAGGTTATTTCATATATGCTGTTACAATACGGAGTATATATATCGCTGCAGACCTTCACCAGCATATAGCTGTTGTCAATATCTTATCAGGTGAAATATAGAAGGCGGGTTCTAGAGAACATATCTCCAGTCAGTTCTTAGCACCTACTTCAGGCCGGAGGTGTCAAGATCTACATGGAGTGCCCTTGTTTTTACATGTGTCTCAGAACTTGTATATGAGATCATGCAAACGAACGACAGCTCTATATTTCTTCACGCGACTATACAAGTGTACGAGAATGAAATTAAAATGCAACCGCAGCTTCAAATCCATTAGGCATTTTTTATATGCATTGGGTGCTTCTTTTTACCTTTTAGGTGTAAGAATATTAAAACATAACTGTAGCTCTATATCCATGGGATGCATTTTTCAGTCGTTTTATGTACACACACATGTACATGTTTTGTGTACGCCCACAAATGTATGAGAATATGGAAACATCGCATAAACTCTAAATTCATGGAATTTTTCCTCATCATATGTCCTAAAAGGCAATCAAACTGCAGCACAGGAGTCCTACAAAATTTCCAAAAATGGTATTCATCTTTTTTTCTATCTTTTATTTATCATAAATCTTAAGAGCGCTGGGCTGAAGCATCACAACAGAAAGTTCATCAAAACTGCTGCATCAAATTGAAACTAAAAATTACCAACGCATCTGAATTTACATGATCTTTAATCTCGTTGCCATACAGTATGTATTTAATATATAAATATGCGAGTACATTATTAAAGAATTTTATGTGGGCAAAATCTACGGATATGTAACAGAAAAATTCAGACATGAGATGTGACCACTGAAGATATACGTGCATTTTTCCTGTCAAAAACGTTTATAAATGTGAAAAACACAATTATAAATTACACTAATTGAGTAACAAAACATAATTTTTAATAATATGGTGGCTGCGTGCTGGCAGAAAGCGCTGAGCCAAGCGAGTATTATAGATAAGATAAGGCAGACCGAAATATACTATCTCAGCAGAGACGCTCATGCGTTCGTTGAAAATGATATAGGAAGCATGCGTTCGTTCATCATTCAAGTTTCGGAACCTTTGATTCCTAGGTTTTAATTGCAGCAAGATTATCGGGTGATCATTACAGTACTCTTGATTAATTAATCTTCGGCTGAACAAGGCGGCTACTTTAAACGGCGGCAATGGCAGCTAGACCAAGTTATTAATTAGATAAAGCTTGTTAACGAATCTCAAGCGTAATTTTAGAAAGTGAAATGAAATATTTACTCTGAAATGAGAAAATTTATTCCAGCGTTAGCCAAAAATACTATATAACCGAAATCATTATCGACTCGTTAAAAAAATGTTCCAGTAAACTTCCCATTCATCTTATTAAAAACTAGCTTTTCGTTTTCCCAAGTGATATCGCCCACTTTTTTAGAAATTTGTATCAAATTTCATGAAATTTTCATAGACTTAGATGAAATTTCATCAAGTTATGTTTTAAAACAATGGTTTATAATTAATAACATATGAATACATATTAAAGTTTTAAACCGGTGCTACTGATCTACTGAGTGGAATGATCTATACTGCTCATCTTTTAACGAGACTTGGGTCACAAGGTCGATGTCTATACTCCTTTATTAGCTATCATAACATCGGGGTCAATATATCTACTCTATAGTTAAATATGAGGCAGGGTTCCAAGGCTCAATATCTACCTCTTAATTAGGAGACCGAACCTTATTGTTTATATACACTTTAATTAATAGATCGGAAGCTCAGGTTCCAAGATACGCACATATATTAATTAGTTACATTCATCATAAGTCTCCGTAATCATCTTAAATGCCGTCAATCGTGACCGGCTTTCGGCAGCTGAATTGGTATCTTATCATGAAATCTTTGTTTGTAAAGGATTAGCGTAATATGAATTATATAAAGGCGATTAATCATCATTGTTGGCCATTGGAAGAAACTATAATCATTTGACTTTAAAAAGAATTTTGTTCGCAAGGAATTTTTGTTCGCAAATAATTTTTCGAAAACAATCAAAAATTTTAAACGGTGCCCAGATTTCTCGTATGAAGACTTGTATTCGCAGGCTAATCATATAGATGCATGGCGGTCAAATTCGATCTGTCACTGACTAAAAACAAGTGCAATTATAACATCATGATTATGCCCGTTGGTATTTTCCTCAAACTAGGTAAATTACTCAATTGTTTCTTCGATCAAATTGATAACATGCGTGTAAAAATGCTTTATATATATTCGATAGATAAGCGTTTTCCAAAACTTTTCTCTCCTAAAATTCAGCTCCAGCAGGAAAATTGCGTACAACATTTCGAGAGAAAAAAGTAAAAGAATTTCTGTTCTCTTACTTGTGAAAGAATTAACATTCGTATTAACGTGTATCTATTCGTAGGTATGTTTTAGTTCTATTTATTTTAACGTAAGTTGTTTTTCTCAACAGGCAAGCCCTAATGACTAAAGACTATATGCATTCAAATTAACTCGATTAAAAGTAGTAATGGAAACTCCGTGCTAGAAAAGCCTGATTCTATTCTTTTAACGTTTCACCAAATCTTGACATGATCCCGCCCTAAGCTCCTGGTCTTTATATCGGAGCAGACAAGATAAGGTATTTAATTCGCGAGTCAAATCTGCAGAGATAAGCTCCATTCAACGTCATAGAATACGCTCTGAATCACAATAAACAGTCCCAGCCGAATCAGGGTAGGCAAATTGTGGACAAACTGTTGAACTCTCAAGAATATTTGCAGAGTTGTGACCACGTATCAAACATGACACACTTTTACACACTGTAAAAGCATGTACGTCCGTTCAGTAGTCATTTCGGAAATAGATTTGGTCGTTATTTGGTGATAGATTCGGTGGCCTAGTGGTTACAGTTCAGAGTACCAAGATTGGCGCAGAGAGGCGCGGGTTCGATCCCAGCTCTGTGCGCCAGTTTCTGGTCAGAATCGGCAAGGAGGCCGGGCGGTTTAGCACAGCAGAATTGTAGCAGTGAGTGGCGAGTTCGAGACCGCAAAATGCTGTGAATGTTCTGCGATGTTAAGAATCGGCGACAGGCCTACGGCCTGTTAAACGCTGAAACCGCTATTATTATTTATTATTATTATTAGATTAAGATACGATCTACCACTCTCGATAGGTCAGAGCTTTGTGGCTGCACCTGCACTCCCACAAGTTATTATCTTACATTGTTCTGAGATTTCATCTTTATTTTCGTGAATGTATTGTATTTATTGAATTGTATCGTAAAAGTAATGCTACTTAATTAAATTAACTACCTTGGATTTACGTATCCATCCTGAAGACCGCCGCGATCATTTGAGTTTAACCTGTTCCGTGACCCACACAAGATGAATAAAAGAAATCAATTCAATTCTGTATTTGTATCTGCTTTATTGAAGTTACATCTTTTATAACAACAACTACATATAATATAATTATACGTATAATATTTATATATAATAGTTTTTGAACTACATAAAATATTTCCGAACCTCACATGATACTTGATCCGAACAAGCAAGCACCATGTTTTATCAGCAATTTTCTAATAAAAGCTTCTTTAATCACATTAGATAACGAATCAGTATTCTATGGATTAATACGATAATCCAATTATCTATGTACGGATGAAACTTTATCTATTCGTGCTACTTTTGCTACTTCAATTGACTCGAATCCTATTTACTCTCGCATTGGCACCGTCAGTGATCTTCATTCACTTTCTAGATTTTTTATTTCAACTTTAGTACTTTTGCTTCATAATGAGCACTTTACTACATGTATGTAATTACTTGTTTAGTATTTTAAGTACTCCTATCGCTATTATGTGTACTTTCTTGCCTATGAGAGTCAAGAAGTGTTTTTTTCAGTGAAACTAATTTTAACTTACACGTAAGAACCTTCAATTCATATAGCTCTTATTCGTAAACTACATCCATGCATATTCTCGCATAATCTAAAAATTCGTACCCATCATTAAAGCTTTACCTCCACCTCGAACAAGTTGTTCTAAAATATTAGTTTACTATTTTAAATCCAGGTAATCTACGAATTTATCCAGTTAATCGACAAATTTATCAAGTAAATCGACAAGTTCATCAAGTTATTCGACAAATTTAACAATTTAATCCCGTGTGAATAAATTACTAAATTTAATTTTATTGCAGGCCGGACTCGAACCCGCGACAAGTACCGGGTTGTGTACAGCGAGCACCAGCGCCTGGAGCTGGAGAAGGAGTATAACTTCAACAGATACATCACCATCAAGCGCAAGACGGAGCTCGCCGAGACGCTCTCACTATCCGAACGACAGGTAATTCATCGAGCTGTATCAAGTTGTTCACTATTGTATAGTGAACAACTAGTAGCAACTAATATAGTTTTATATTTTTTATCGTTTACTATTTTATATTGAACGATAAATTTATCAAGTTATAGGCCGTATCACTATTTATATTGAACAATAAATGTATAAATTTATATGCCGGTTCACTATAATTAACGATAAATTTATCAGGTTATAGGCCGTATCACTATTTATAGTGAGCGATAAATGCATCAAGTTGTAGGCCGGTTCACTATTTTATAGTGAACGATAAATTTATCAATTTGTAGGCCGTATCACTATTTTATAGTGAACGATAAATGCATCAAGTTATAGGCTGGTTCACTATTTTATAGTGAACTATAAATGTATCAAATTGTAGGCAATATCACTATTTTATAGAGAACTGACCTGAGTTTTAACAATATCTACCTGCCGTAATTTTAGGAGATATATATATAATTAATTTTATTTTTTTGTGGCTGGTTGTAATTAGCTAATCCAAACCCAGCCTGTTGCTTGAGTCAAGTCGAGCTATAACGTTCTTTTTAATAGCTTTAGGTATAGTAATTAAACTATAACGTTCTATTCAAGGCTTCAGCTATAATTATAAAATTACAACGTTTTATTTAAAGCTTTAGCTCGACTCGAAAAAACATTGCAGAGATAAAATTTCTCGAGTTCTGGTTTTCTCTCGTGTATTTATTATTTTATTCCTACCCTGCTTCGTTGCTTGTTCTTCAATGGGTTATTGAATAAAAACAAACTCGATATAACAAATAAATTAAATCAATTTACAATTATAATTATAATTGTAATTATAATTGTGAAATTGTAATTAATTGCGAAATTGTAATTATAATTATAATTGGAAAATTATAACGATTTCCCATACATAAACTAAAACCATAATTATTTAATCACAATTAATATGCACCATTGGGAAAAATGTTATTGGTTCATTCCCAACATTTATTCATGTCCATTACCCATCCCGTTTCATAGTTATTCAACATCCGTGCAGATCAAGATCTGGTTCCAGAACCGTCGAGCCAAAGACCGCAAGAATACCAACAAGAAGAAGGCCTCTCCGAGCTCCAAAGAAATGCCATGTGGGGGGCAAATGACCAGCGGGGCAGCGCCCCCTAACCAGCACAGCATCCTGGGCACCCGCCTGGCCCAGGGCAGTGCCCTGCCACAGGCGCCCGGTAACACGATAGACCCTCCGTCAGGTTACCTGATACCCGAGACCTCGACACGGATGTTGCCAAGCGAAGAGTTCCAGAGCCAAATGGGGCTAATGGATGGTCAGCAGAATACTGCGCCTCACGAACATATGTCGCCTGAAGCTCTTCAGTTAGTGCATTTACATCAACACCAACAGCAACATCAACAGTTCTCGGGACAACATCAATCCCCAAACGGATACCCCATTCCTCCTCCGGAGTATTCCTCACCTTCTTTCATGCACGGGCAACCTCCATTCCTTCCCCCAGGTTCAATTTTTCATCCCGATGATTTCCGCTTCAATCAAATGAATAACTTTTCTTATTTTGATGCAATTCACAATCATCATCAAGCAGCCCAAATGTACCAACAACAACAAATGCACCTGCATCATCCTCACCAGCAGCAACTGCATCACCAGCAACATCAGCAGCACCATCAGCAACAAACAGAAATTGCTTCGGTTGGTGGAATACATGCCTTGTCTTTATCGGAGGATTCATTAAACTCTGCCATGATTCCAACATCGGTCACGTCATTAGAACATCCTAAGACGGAAATGAGTCCTACTGTCAAGGCCGAGAATTCACCGTAACAAGTTCTCATCTAGAAGAATAATATTTTAAAATTCTAATTTTCCCTTCCAACTATAACTAGAAGCATGTAAAATTTGGGTAATCAAATTTAGCGAAACGATCTCCTCACTATAAGAAGATATGATTCGCTGTGACAGATATTTTTCACAATTTTCAATCCGGGAGTAACGCTAGGGTACCGAACTTTATCTTCATGAATGGCAGAATGCAGTTAGATATGAAAATCCAATTGAAAAGAAACTGGCAGATCAATTATCAAATTATTGTGCTGCAATACCTGTAAAAAATTTATCTCCATTTTTTTAGTAACAAATCATCATATACAATTCTTTCAACTGTGTTATTATCATGAGTTTGAATGGCCCTGAGCAGTCACCAGTTACTGTTTATAAAGTCTAGGGTCTGGTTTAAAAATTGTGTAGTTTGCTGTAGTTATCATGTTAGGGAGTTAATTTGAAATTAGATATGATTTGTTGCAAACCAGTTTACCTCTCACACTGTTTGTCAAGTTGAAAATTTCATTTCAACAAGTAATATCGAGAAAAATTATTGAATTAACAGAAGTACAGATGAATGGAGGGTAAAACGCTCTCCTATTCTTAGAACTATAACGATGCTCTGTGTTGGTGGTGAAGTGTAAATTTTGCTCTGCCCATTAAATAATTTTTATTTCAATTTTGAATGAAAATTTCTGTTTCATTCAAGTTTTTAATAATTTTAATTAATAAACTTTGCTCAGGTATCAAAACCGAATTAAAATTGTTTAATTTTCTAGCTAATTTCTTTTTCTCAAAATCTAATGCACTTCAGAAAAACTTGTGACTTTTTAAGTTCATATTTTTTTTATTTTGGATATTTTCTTTTTTGAATATTTGAGTTGTGCACCTAAATCATGTCCTCATGTTCATCAAGATTGTGAGTTGAACTCTGTTCCATCGACGAAAAGACGAAGCCAAGCTCCATTGCTATAGACATTTTGTTTTCTTGTTTTAAAAAGTTTTAGTAGGGGATTTACATGGCTTGATGCATCGTTTAAATGATTATGTATCGCTTAAATGATGATGTATCGTTTAACGTGACTTAAAATTTTATCAAAATACGTACGGCCACATATACTTACGTGTTCCAGCCTATGAATTTGACATGTTCTGAATATAACGTTTCAACAGGTTTACGGTAATAACTTTAGATATCGCACTTAAAATTCTGGATGTTTTCCATTCAACAAACTGTAGAGAAACAATCAATTCTCAATTAACTTTCGTCGAGATTTTTTACTGTGTAAATGATGTAAGTTTCTTTGTAACTAATTTTGTAAAAAAGAGCTAGACCAAAGAACTGTATACTTGGCATGTGTGTTCATTATGATGATTGCATGCGAGAAATAAATTAAAATTTACTGTTATTGCCACCATCAACGTGCTTAGCATTAGTCTACATGATTTAGTGACTAAGTTAAGAAATTCCTAAGGTTTGTAAAGTTGTTAAAAAGTGATGTTAAGCTCCACTTGGGATAATTTTCTCGTACATAATTCTTATTCCAAAGCGAGCTCTTTTTGAGGACATATATTATCCCTCAAGCCTTAATGAATGTGAACCCATAATTTAACTACTGATACAAAATTCCCTATGCATGGTTTTTGGCTAGGCGTGTTGTATAATGACGTAGTCTCCGCTATAAAAATCAATATACAAAATTATCGGCGAATCGCCAAATTGCTGAATATTGAATATTTCTTGAAGCTATTGAGCCGCTAATAGTGAAATTGATCCATAATAAATGGTTGCTTCAAGCACCACCATAGTTATTCAGTCATCAGAAGCCGCTAGTTGAGAGGAGTTGAAATTTGTCTAATTAATTTTCAGCTGTTGATTTTACATATTGGTAAAATTACCGTGTTTTTAACTAAATATTATTATTGGCTGAGCTACGAGGGATTTGTCTCGATTCATTCATAATAATATTTTGATAATAAATGAATAATGTAAAATTTGTGGTTTCGACTTTTTTCCAGAGGTTATAACTTGGTTGAATTTTCGGTCATTCATGTTACTCATGGCTATCTCAATTCATGGCAGCTCTACTAAACGTATAGGGAATATCTTAATCCAAACGATGCAAGGTATTTGTATAGCTTTTAAGACACTATTTATGAACTAGAAGTTCTAGCTGCTCGTTCAGTTTCGAACCAAAATCTTGTGAAGCATAGAAGTTAGCAATATTGATCGATAATTTCGATGTTGTTGATGTCATGTATCGGAGAGAGCTGTCACCTCTCGCATTATTATACTAACACTACAATTTTTGTCACTTCTTGTATCCATAATATTTGGAGAAAATATTTTTTAACCGGTGAAGTTATGCTTTTCATGTCAGCTCTCAACTGGTCATTCAAGTGCTACATCATTACAATGATAGCATTATTATTCCTTGTTATTGTTTCTGGATTGAAAGTGGTTGTTTTTTTTCAACCAAAGTATGACAAATTTGATAAGCACGAAAAGTGAATTAATCACTTCCAAGCTCCTGATGGAAATATACTTAATTCTAATTTACTACCGTGTGCGATTTGATCGATCATCCTGTATTAATTAGAGCAGTAAATACATCAATACGTTTACGATTTTTTCTTTCCATTGATGCATTTAATTACTGTAAGCATTATATCTATGTTATTAACTTACTCTATTTTGTTAGAGCCTCGTTGAAAGGCTGTTGAAGTTTAATTTCCCTTTGCGTTTTTTTTTTTTGGTTTTCTGGTTATTTTTTACTCGGTTTTGTTAATTTTTTATTTTCATTAACATGTCTCGGACTTGATAAACGGGAATGCTTTTACAGTTGAATTGAAACTTTGAAGATAAAATGGAATGTGAATGCCAAGAATTCAAAATCAAAGAAAACGTTCAATGTTTCAAACGTTGTCAATATGTTCAATGAAAACGTTTCTTGAAATCAGAATAGAAAATTAAAGTTAAACCGAAAAAGATTGAAACCTTAGAAACGAAAACATTACCGGAACAAAATCCTACCGATTAATAATTTTAAGGAGGAGAAAAATCGTACCCATTATTGAGACTATTGAGGTTTCGTTTGAAAATATGCCATGGTTATAAAATCCAGAAGTCCGAAACACCAAAGGTAGAGTCAAGCATCTACTATCACTCTCAGTAACAGTCACTTCGCACTCAATGTGGATGTGGTGAGAATGGAATCGTAGGCAGAACTTTTGTAATCTTGGCTCATATATACTTTACCCACATCGATCTTCATGAAAATTTATCAAATAAAAATTATCTCCAGCGAAATAATGGATTCGAAAAATAATTCGAAATAATTTTGCAATCAATGTATATATTTTTAACTATAAAACCAGCTCGCATGGTGCTAGTTTTCTGAGCTATGGATATTCGTTAGCCTCGTTTAGCACCTTTCCGACATCTATAGTAGGTTCTCGGTAGACTTTAGTGACAAACGAATTCTCTTTAACTCGCACTATCATTTCAAAGATGGGTAACGAATACAGTAATTCCGTGTAAATTCATGGCTACTCGCAGTTCCAAGGCTACTCGCAGTTAAGTCATTTGCCCTTCATCTTGAACGACGACACAAATGTCGACAGCAGCAGATCTGTTCATCAATCCTGCACTCGATTTTTCAAGTTTGCACATACAGAATTCAACAAAAGTTTGACGTAACTTACTGCCCATAGTAGCACCATTGACTTGTCTATAAATTTTCTCATCAAGAGTGCGTGAAGGAACACACCGCTGCCATTTAATGGCACACTGCATTCATTTAGCTGTACACAATCTTTTTATTAATACTATTTTTTATTTATAATAATATTAATTTTATATTAACACCATCCTTTTATTAAGCGACTTGATAAAAGGATGGAGCAACATCCTTTTGTCAAGTCGCTTAATTTTTAAGTGAAAGATACAACTTTTATTAAGCTGCAAACAATCTTATTATTTAATGACACTGATACTTTTTATTAGGTGGCACACACTATATTTATTTAATGCAATGTATATAAAGCTTTAATTTTGTGGCACACTCTTCTTTTATTTGGTTGCACACACTATATTTATTTAATGCAAGGTACATCAAGCTTTTATTTTGTGACATACCCTTTTTTATTTGGTTGCACACACTATATTTATTTAGTGCATGGTACACGCTGCTTTTATTTTGTGGCACACACAACTTTTATTGATAATCAACGCATATCAGAAAGATTAATTAATAAATAAATAGTCGACATAACTGATATGTTCACACACACACCGATTAACACAAAAAGAGTTGTATATCGGAGAAGAATTTGTGAATAATATTATACCGAAATATTATTGGGTGTTTCTTATTCACCATGCTGGCAGCTGCAACTTCACTTCATGTAATATAATACCATCAATATTTTGAAGTCAGCTATGCATAACCAAACTCGTAACTATGCATATGTTAGTCCAAGTTAAACTCTACATATATTGAGCTCTTGCAATGTAGGTACTATGAAACATTCCCTAAAATATCCATAAATATCGTACGAAATCGTACGAATATCGAAATATTCCATAAAATATCGTACTAAAATATCGTACTAAAATATCGTAAAATATCGTACTATCGATGCACACATTGATGAGATCATCATACTTCTTACGCAAATATTAATTTCAGCGGAGTAGAAATTTTGTATTCTTTGCCTCATCGTCCGTTAACCGATTCGGGTGATACGAAAAGCATTTTTGTCACTCCATCAGCCACGATTGACTTTTGATGCAACTTAATGTTATGAACAGTTCATAATTTTCAACTTCAATGACTCAGAATATTTTAAGGTTGCTTTACCAGTTGGAAATTGGTTTTAAATTAGGAAATTGAATGAATTAAGCATATTTGACTAGTTGTATAGAGCGAAAAATTGCTGGAAAACTTTAACTTTTCTTCACGATAAAATATATAAGAATAATTCCACCACACGACATGTTAAAATTACCATAAACTTCTTCATGTTCTCAGCTAAAGAAGAATTATTTAAAACTCCGAACTACACAAGTAATTTTTAACTAATAGGATAAAATTTATTTCATCTGACTTAATAAAATAACAATAATTACTTCTATACTATTTTGAGAGCCCTTTCAACAAGGCAAGTGAGAGAAGCTAGACTAATTTGTAGGAAAGTGATTGTGAAAATATAAGTAGGTAAGAAATTTGCAGCGCCTCCATTCTTCTGCATCGCCAGATTACCTTAAAATGAAAAAATGAACCGAAAATTAGAAACATTGCATATTGAAAATTATAGTTTATTACAAATTATTGTATAATATTGCAAATCATACACTGTTAGAAAAAATTACCGTTAACGGTATTATACCGGCGTTTCATTGGCCGGTCGGCACGTGAAAAAAACACCGTTTCGCCGTTTCTACTCTAATTTAACACTAGAAATCCGTAAAACATCTGATAAAAACGGTAAAACAGTTTATTTTCACGGGGCGACCGGCCACTAGAACGCCAGTGGGACCGTTTTTTCACCGTTTTTTCCAACAGTGTAGAATATTAGTCATTGCACAAACAGGAACCAATATGAAGAAAAGTAACCAGCAGAAATAGGTATTGTTGTATAAAAAGTGATCTTTAATTGTATAATTGAATCGATAATATAAAAATTGAGCATTTGGATTAGGTGCGTGCGGTGTACTTAGCACACCAGCATCTAAGTACGCTCTCTACGGAAAAATAATAATTTGAAGGAGATTAATTGTCAGGTGAATTGCTACACTAATTTTTGCACTGCGCTGTTATGATGTTTGCAGTATTATGAAAAATAATGTTATATGTAGTAGTCGTGCACTTTGCTCAATTGAACATACACAAACAAGAGAAATGCGGCTAGATAATATCAATCAAATCCTAACAGTTTAACTTTTATGGTAACTGTTTGACTTTACTATCAAGAACAAATAAACCTATATGTATTCTCACCATGACCGGCCACTCGAATGTTGCGTGTAAAGTCTATTTCATTGCTGATACACGCGTCTTCTCTTGGAACGAATACCTTGTACCTCGGGAAGGTATCTTCCGTGGGTACCTGTTTGGACCATATGTTACGGTAATTAATGTGTGTTATGACAAAAAATGTATCCACGAATATATACCATCATGAAGCAATACTCGAAAAAATATTATGTATTATGTGGAATTACTGATAACTCAGCAGTTTCAAAGGCGATCAGCGCTATTATAACCAATAAAGCAATGAATTTTATTTGATAGAAGCCAATAATTTGCTCGTTTTCTTGTGCCTGAGCGCTTTTTGCAACTCATTTTGACTCATGTCTGGGATTGCAGAGCTCCTTTCACCAGCTTTAACTAACATAGACATATTTTTAAATGCCATTTTTGGCTCCAGCACAAAATTTTTGAACACTTTACTAAATGAAAAAGTTTTAGGTTGCTATTAAAATGATGGTGTCTTTCTTCACTCACTCGACACTCTGCTTTACAGCCGCAACAAACAGCCAACAGATGCCACATTTAAAAAAAAATTGTCTATAAAATGTCGCTGTGTTTTTAATCCAATCATCTTCATTCAAGTGATGAAATTTTAACTCTTTTAACTACAGGCGATTCTTATGAAATGAACTAAAACGTGAAGAGAAAAAAATTAAAATTTGCAAAACCCGTTAGATTAAATTCCAAACATTGCCAGTGAGGTAAAAATAAATCAAACGACTGGTAATGAACAAAAATAACAAAAGTAGAACGATTAGAAATAGAACAAAACTGAAACCAAGAGATTCCAGCAAAAGCGACAAATATGAAATGATGCGGAGTGCATATTTTTATAGAAAAAATTCTATAGAAATAAATGAAGGTAAATGAGGGACATTTCCTCAAAATTTCCTTCAGGAACCACAAAATATGCGCAGGAGCATATAGTGTAAAAAATTATTTGCCGCTCAGGGTTTAAAAATAATCTTACAATATAAAATAATTCATTAAAAATTTTCTGCCAAAAAACTGAGTGTGAGCTGCATTTACCATGAAGGAATTTTGTATAATTTCTACAAGGCAATTACCTCTGTTCAGCTGTCAATAAAGATTCTTCATGAATATTGTACATAAATGTTTTTTTAACTGAAGTTGTATATCATTTAGTAATTTTTTATTCAAAGATGTAATGTTCCGAATTCATAAAAAGTTTGGAAAATGAAATTTGGCACTTGTGCATTATTATCTTTTTCAATAACATTTTCCTTTGGTTTGTAAACTATAACATTCGTGTGAAACAATTTCTGTTGGTTTTCAAACTATTATTTTCTTTAAAAAAATATTTGAATCTGTCTTTAAACTGTTCATCTCTTCCAAAACAGTCTCCTTTGGTTTGTAAACTATAGCTTCCATCCTAATCATTTCCGCTGGCCTAATTCCTAATCATTAAACAATTAATATATTCCATTTTTTTTAAGGAATTAAGTTTTACTCCGCACAAACAAATTTTGATCAATCAAATTGATCAGAATATAATAACATGTCACCTGGCTGACAGGTTGTCTCCCAGAGTTGAGGCAGTCAGAGAGGAAGTCTCCTTCAGCGTAGACCTTCTGCAGCGCCTGCACCCGGAGCGCGTCTTGCCAGAAGGATTCGTCGTAAAGCAACTCCAGCACGGACTGGTTTTGGAGCCCTGTTGGGGTTTTTAGACACACATAATTCATTCAGCATTGTTAACCAGATTGTATAGTGCATATATTGAGCTATTTTTCATGAATTGGTTGATTGACACTTATTGTTATCTGCGACTTATGAAGAAAAATTGGTTTGAAAAAATATGTAAATTATCTCTCAGAGTGACTCATTGAAATAATGAAACTTCAAGCTTGTTGGCTTGCTTTTATGGCAAATTAACCAAAAATATTAAAAAAATGAGTGAATTACCATGAACTCTCAAATATTTACTTGAACGTTTTCAGACGCCAGATCGATCATCTGCTAAACTACAATGCGTCGTGCAAGGATGCGAGATTTAGTGCTTGGGTACTAAAAAATAAGTACCTAAAAACATAGGTACTTAAGTACATTAGTACCTATGTTGATTCTGAAATGCAAATTGAGGAGTAATTATATATTTAGAAATAAAATCTTTCTTTGTATGTTCCCCTATAGTTTTTAAAACTATTGATGATAGCTGTCTCTGAGGCGTTCAATTATAGGTATTGTAAATTTTCTTATCATTATTTTTTAAGTAAAACTCTAAATAGACTTTCAACAAATTCTATACGACATCATCACTCACTAAACAATAATTTTAAATCTCTGTGGTTTCTCTATTAACTAATTTAGTCTGGGCAATCGTTCCCAACTAACTGAAATTAAACACCGATTTTATCTAAATCAACTGGCTTTATTTAGCTAATTTATTATTTATCTAAATCAATTGATAGTCATATCACTATCAACAGTGAAGTAATAACTCCATTACTCAGTCAATATTGTACTATATTAGAACTCAACTACTCACTGTATGGTAATTTTCAAAGTATGGTAATTTAATTAATAACAGCCATACTCGCTGTATGGTAATTTAAGTGGTATAATAATTTAACTAATAACAGCCATACTCACTCTACGGTAATTTAATTAGTATAATAATTTAATTAATAACAGCCATACTCACTGTATAGTAATTTAATTAGTATAATAATTTAACTAATAACAGCCATACTCACTCTACGGTAATTTAATTAGTATAATAATTTAATTAATAACAGCCATACTCGCTGTATGGTAATTTGATTAATTTAATAATTTAATTAATAACAGCAATACTCACTGTATGGTAATTTAAGTAGTATAATAATTTAATGACTAACAGCAATGCTCACTGTATGGTAATTTAAGTGGTATAATAATTTAATAACTAACAGCAATACTCACTGTATGGTAATTTAATCTTCATCCTGTGCAGATACCACGACATGCTGAGATCCATGCTAGGGCTGCCGGCGCTGGCGCTCTCCTTCATGATCTTCGCGAGGCTCGCTTCCTGCGCGCGGTCTATCATGTCTACCCTGTAGGCAGTAAATAAATGTAGAATTTATTGCACTGAACATTTTTGCTTCACTATCAGTGACGTAAATACTGAGAAATACTGAGAAGAGGTTGAAACAACCGGTGCATTCAATATTTTTCCGGATCGTCTGTATGATTTCGATTAATTGTTCGAAAAATTATTATATAATTGCTTCCAGAATTCACTAATGTCATTTTTACTACATTTCCAATGAAACTCAATAATTCGTTATTTCTATGTATTTAACTTATACATAAATTGATTTCTTACGGTAGAAAGCCGCATTTTTCCCAGTGGTCTTGAAGCCTGTTCCTTTTTTCCTTAAATGCCATTTCGTTTAATACCTCAACTGGGATTTATATATTACCTCAAGGCGTACAAACGAATTTTAAAAATACGCTACATCACTTTGAATCAACTATTTAGCGCTCGTTTAGTCTCAGCATAGATATGTGTCCACTATCTCTGTATAAAAATGACTTCAACCTAAAAAATTATTTCGTCATTTACCATTAAAATTTGCTTCTGAGTACTCACGAAAAAGGTTCACCGAAAGGATCTCTGAAAATATCGGAAAGATTAGATTATTTTGCATCAAAGAAGAAATTTTATGAGTAACTCATACTGAAGGATACAAATAAAATTATCTTGTCGTAACTGAAGGGAATAGGGGTCCGTTTTAATCAATTTAAAATAATCTAACTTATTGTGCTTGAAGGAATTGATACCCAATTGAAATTAAACTTTATTAAAAATATTTTATTAAAACTTTGTTATTCATATAATTATATATTTAGAAATGTTTCTTATATTATACTGTTCAAAATATACTCAAGATCCTAAAAAAATCGTTAAACATTCAAATATATTTGAACAGAAATCTCTTCTTTTCTAATACTCTTGCATCAAAATAAATTATTCACTTTTTATTCACAGAAATCTTTCAACTTCTGATACTATTAAAAAAATAGTAATGATAAATTATTCATATGATAAATTATTATTATACAGTTAATGAAAAATTATTCACTTTTTCATTCACAGAAATCTTTCAACTTCTGATATTATTAAATAAAAAAATAGTAATGATAAATTATTCATATGATAAATTATTATTATTTGGTAATGATAAATTATTCACTTTTTGAATTCCTCAGCATCGTAGATCTCCTGGACACCAAGTGCCCCCAACACGTCGTCGAGTTTAGGCTTGGAGTAGCAGTCGGAGAGCGGCAGGCGAGGGTAGTACGTCAGGTACGCAAGACACATCTCATCGCCTGCGCCAAACCCACCCTGAAAATTGCGAACAAATCTCAAGAAACTTTTTTTGTAGACCTAAGCACACAAGATATATATGTAATATCTTATCTTATAATTACATTACATGTAATTCATTTACTATTTGAAAAATTACATCCCGTCGCCTGCGCCAAACCAACCCTGAAAATTGTGAACAAATCTCAAGAAAATTGTTTTTAGCGCATTTTCTCATTTATGGAAGAAATGCCCTATTGTACTCGTCATGTCCGTCCGTCTGTCTGTCCGTCCGTCCGTCCGTCCGTCCGTCCGTCCGTCCGTGACTTCACGTTTTCGTCGACGAGAAAATGCGCTCTCTGTCACTCACTGCAGTGAGTACTGAGTTATATTTTTTGTATACATGAGCATACAAGATGTACATGTAATATCTTATCTTATATTTACATGTATACATGCAATTCTTTTATTATTTGAAAAATTATAACTCTTCGCCTGCAAATCTCAAGAAACTTTTCTTTGTATACATGAGCATACAAGATATACATGTAATATCTTATCTTATATTTACATGTATATATATACATGTAATTGCTTTATTACTTGAAAAATTATAACTCTTTGCCTGCAACAAACCCACCCTGTAAATTGCGAAAAAATGTCGAGAAACTTGTTTTTTTTTGTATACATGAGCATGTAATTCCTTTATTATTTGAAAAATTATAACTCGTCACCTGCAGAAAACCCACACTACAAATTGCGGTTAAATCTGAATAGGTTTGTCTAAAAAGTCATGGGCATGTGATTATTTAATAATTTGAACAATTATAATGTGTTTGGGGGGAAAGAGATCGACAAAATTTTGTTAAAATCAGTACTTAAAACCTGTGAAATAAATGATTAAAAAATTCGGAATGAACAAAAATTTCAGGTTACGAACATTTTATATTGTATTTTCATGGGTTTTGTGGAAAAAATAGGATGAATAAAAATGATAAATGAAACTTTAATGATAAACTAAATACGAAAACAAAATATATAAAAGTATAAACCGTGTGTTTCCTTAGCTCATGTTTTATGAACCGAGATCGAGTCTTAGCTCCAGATTCAAAATTTGGAGCCTATCTGAAACAAAGAAATAAACAAGAATTTAGAACTAGCAATAATCGGAAATCATGCAAACAAGATAAATGAAGAAAAAATAAATAAAGGCCAACAAGACAAATATAATGCCAACAAGATAAATAAAAAATATGATGATAAAATAATGATGAACAACTCTGAATACCACCACTGAAAGAAACCATAAAATTATCACAAAATAAACAGACCAAATTATAAAGTAACGCGTTCTTCAATGGTTGATCACACAGCAATAAATAAATGTAGTGCGTATCTAGGCTAGGTCACGTCTGAGGTGACTTAAAGCTAAAATCTGAAATGCCTAAAGGTTATTACAGAACTAATGCACTACGTCCCCTAACAGTATGATTATTAAAGAACGACTAAAGAATTAGAGTTCTTATCGATAATTGCTGGACTAAAAAAAGTTGCTTGTTGTATATATTATGATTTGTTGATTTTACAATTATGCAATATCAGTTATTTTTATACAATATTGATTTTACCTAGACTTCCCGATAAAATTAAATGAGAACTAATAAGTAATGAATAATACGAGTTCATCGAATTTGCGTGATAATGAAATTTTTTATTCAAGGAAAAACAAATACATTTGGTAATTTTTTCGTGTATTGCCGGATTAGACACGGTGCTGATTTAATGATATACTACAAAGTTTTTATCCCTCTAACATTTCGAAAACATAATAGTAATTGATTCCGCTTTGACCAACGCCAAAAGTATAAATTAAGAAAGTCAACCAATCAACAGAAGAACAGCAACGGGCAAGCAAAGATTTAATATGAATATATGTTCTTCCCTGGCAAAGGTAGTTCAATATCTTATGGAACTTGGCCTTTCATCAAACTTGAAATAAAATATAACATGGATGATATGTTCAATCACAAATTTATTATTAACTTTATTGAGTCTAATTTAAAATTTATCGTAAAATAAATTATTATCAACAACAATGGCGTCAAGGTAATTTTAGGGTATCCTGGACTACAAAGGATTATAGTATATTCCACTTTTTAGTTACTTTACGATTATTTCTTCAGAAATAAATTATGTCCAACAATAAAGAAAAATTTTATTCGGATTACTGTGAAATAATACCTAGCTCGCAAAAATACTGATCCTACAATGAAAAAAAAATTAATAACATGGTTACTGAGAGAGACTTAAGTCTTGGTATCGTGTTCACCCACCTAAATTGTCTACAAAAAATTCTTTATACAAATTGGTACGGAGTAAAATAATTGAAGGACTGAAGCTCGGTTTTATTAAGGCTGTTCGGGAACAAGCTTCGCTTATCGATCAGTCCTAAGGGATGAATATAACATGCGGCCTTACGTATGTGGGTCAAATGCAAGTCAATAGCTGGCATTGAGTGGCTTTATACCTCATATTTACGCTATATAATCTTTGAGCACGAGAGGCGATGCGGTCATACGCATTGAGAAGCGTAAAAAATTGGTATAGAATATAGATATAGTGACAATAACAACAGGAAGTTTTTATATAGTGATACAATATTCTAAACGATGTATAAATATAATCTAATCAGAACTTGAACTTTTAGAAATATCACCACAACGTAGAGTTCAATGACTTCACGATCATTTATCCATTCAGAGTGTTAGACCCTCCTGAATAGACGAAAACTTCACGTGATACTGAGAGATAAGACATATCAAATCATAGTAAAAAATTCACACTAATGAGACGGTGCGGAGTCAACGGACTTGGAGACTCCAGAGAAATTGATCATGAAGCATAAATAAAAAGATAATAATTAAATTAATGAAATGCATTGGAATATAAAATTACTTTTTAAACCCTTGAAAAATAGTATTTGTTCCTAATTTTTTTTGTTTACCAAAGAAATTTAAGGTTAAAACAACTGAAACACACGTTGAAGGTCAATGACCAAGATACTTGAGACTGCAGAGGAGGGAAAGTTCGTTGACCTCATAAGCCGCTTGGCCAGTCTGAGACCCCAAATTTATTAAAATTAATTCTTTTTACTGTATAGTTTTTTCTTAAGTTCAATTACTTCAAGTTTGTTTGACCAATGAGTAATTTCATTTGCCTTATTTGGAATTATTGATGTATGAAATTGTATTTACCCAAGTGAATGGACCTTACCTAACTTTTACAACAATGGAAATTGTTTTAAAAATTCAGCATCATGACCAATTTTCACGAACAATTTATTTTCTAAAACATTTAATGTGTAGTAATTAATGAAAAAATGTTCATTTTATTTGTCGAAAAGTAAATGAAATATTAGGATTAGTTTCCCTAGATTTTCTGATATTCTATCCTGGTCACGGCACCATTTTATGTCGTTGCGTACACGCTGCAACGGTTAACACGTGGCAACCACTTCATAAGAGCCGTTTATGATCGTAAACTTTTCGTCTCATGAAAGGATAGAAGCAAGACATGTAATTCTGGAATATAATATCAGACCTTGCACCAAGGATAGTATACATTGAATCTCCTCCCGTCGTATATATAATGACCTAACTAAATTTATTTATAGCCAGAACCAATTGCTTAGTTCATAGCTATGACTGTTAATTAAGAAAAAAATAATTTCAGACAAATGAGATAAATTAAGGATGAGCTCAAAAACTTCAGAAAAAGAAAGAAAAATACGGATTCAAATAAAGAAGTAATTGTTATATGGTATGGCGGTCATAACAATATTAACGAGTCCGGAATCATTATACTCGTAAATCAAATGTCGGACTCTTTATTTAATACATCAGAATTAATGACTGAATTCGAATGTGTAATATAAATACTATTTCATGGAGGTACTCGTGCGATTAAATAACAATTTTAACCCGTAAAAAATTTATTTCAACTTTCAAAAGTTTTTATTTTTTATTGATTGCTCACAAAAGTTGGTTGGCTGCGGCCTGAGCTGTCGTAGGTGCAGGAGACGATGAGATGGTCTCCAGGCAACAACGTTTGTTCCTGTGACATCACGCGCTCTTGTTGGAAGTTGAAGTCGTATAGCTGATCTGTTGAATTAGAAGTTCAATTTGCCACACTATAATGGACGACGTTAGTAAAAGAGGGAATTAGACAGGCAGATCCTGGAAAAATTAGATTAGTACTCACTGCAGTGAGTAACAGAGAGCGCATTTTTTCGTCCATCCGAGACGTGAGGGCACGGACGGACGGACATGACGAGCACAATAGATCCAATAGAGCCTTTTTGTCTATATATGAGAAAATGCGCTAAAAAGGAGCAAAAATATGTTTCTATAATTCAAGTGACTAACATAGAAAGGAAAAATGATCCGAAATGATCCTTTCAGCTTCATTATGACTTTAAATATGTTATTAGCGCATTTTCTCATTTATGGAAAATTGCACTATTGTGCTCGCCATGTCCGACTGTCTGTCTGTCTGTCCGTCCGTCCGTCCGTGACCTCAAGTTTTCGTCGACAAGAAAATTTGCTCTCTGTCACTCACTGCAGTGAGTACTGAGTTACATTTTTTCCCCTTTTCTCAAAATGAAATGGTTATTGGATTGGATTGAACATATGAAATTTATATAGTTACCGAGCACATCAATCAATGAGTGCATTATAATTCAATCCATTATCAATCATTGCATTGTCAATCAGTTTATTATCAATCAGTCCATTATCAATTATTGCATTTTCAATCAGTTCATTATCAATCAGTCCATTATCAATCACTCCATTATCAATCATTGCATTGTCCCTCAATACATTATCAATCAGTGCACTATCAGTCAGTTCATTATCAATCAGTACATCAATAAATGAGCACATTAACAATGAGCACAATATTATTCACTATATTATCAATGAGCACATTATAATTAAGCACATTATCTGCATTAATAAAATTCCAATATTTGAAGTTTACCTTGCAAATAAGTAGGCAGCTGTCGCCCGTCCCTGATGTGGTGTAGAGCCATCCTAGACGCGATGGTGTGGGCATGAAACGCTCCTGCCAAGATCCGTACGCCATCCTTGGGCACGGACTAGGAAACAAAACAAACAGATTTGATTTTATCACCGAGCCCTAATGGTATAATCATGTAGAGATAACTATGAACATAATTTAAGTATTTTTATTACAATTCCTATTACGTAAAATATTTTGCATTGGTCATGAACACGGACGCTATACACGTACATATAATCTCTCCCTTAGCCTTAAAATGTTAAATTTTAGTTCGGTTTATCGTAGAAATATAATAAAAATTAAATGGGCCAATGTTCAAAGCTCTACCAGAATTCAGCACGCAGTTTTAGTTTCAATCAATTATGAAATATATTGGCTTGTCGTCCATTGTAGCGACAAAACAGTTTTCCTTTCGTACACCATATAAAGATTGCATGCCGTCGTGCACGGAAACGAACAATGTCTGAAAATTAGTTTCATGGCACACTAAACTGTTGACAAAGTCTCGTGCGACCAGAGCTTGATTTATATCAGCAAATACAAGTAAGTGCGCAACTGAACGCCGACATCAATCACAGAACTACGTCAAACAGCGCCCACTGTCATCAGTGGTGGACACGCTTCATTGACTTGTGACCTAACATAAAATTATTCAACAAAATAACGTTAAAATAATTTTATAATCGTTCGCAAAAATATCCTTGTTTTATATTTAATGATACTGAAATAATTAGTCTGAAACTCCAGAAAACTTTTGCCAAGCTCATTTCATTTGACACTTTTAACGGATGAATTTTTTATGTCTGCATTTCATTCCATTGGCCCGATGAAACAATAAAATTGGTTCTTTTAATGTTTGGTTATTTTTTTATTTCTTTTTATGTAATAGAAAAATATTTCGAATCACGACACTTTTTCGTACAGATTTTTTTTATATAATTTTAATCCACAATAAAAAATTCTCATAAAAAATAAAATAAAAAATCAGCCTAAAATTTCAAATTAACTTTAGAAATTGGTTCAATAGTATGCTGAATACTACCCAAAATATTCAAAGTCACCAGTGATAAAAAGGGTCAATATATGAGTAAATCCCTTCATTTAAATAATGCCCAGATCATTGCATGCATTCCACTAATTTTCCAATCTCGTAAATGAATAAATAAAATTGGATAAGAAAAAGAAAAAGAGCTTTTCTTGCAGTAGTCATTCAGAAATCACCGTAAACACAGAGCTGACGCCCGGTCATGGCCTCCAGGTTCGTAAATCTCTTGTACTCAGTAATAGAAATCACCATTACGGACAAAGAGCATCGATCGAGCACGCATTAATATTGGATTGGACGCAATTAATGAGTTCCGTTCTACGCACCAGGGAAATTTGTGGTTAGCTCCATGTCAGTAAGTCTCGAAACAAGCTCCAATACAAGACAACGTTCCGAATACAAATTTTAGCGAAAAATCTCAATTTTTGGGCACAGGTTAATCTAAAATAATAATTATTTGAAGCGAAGCAAGCAGACTTGACTTTTTCCGGCCAAAGTTATGAAATTCGAGACTCCAAATAACTCTCATATATTCTCGAGCCTCACAAAAGTCGCATTCAAACTCCGAATTTACAAAACAGATTTACTATTGCAGGAGGGCAGTAAACCGGTAACATGTACGCAGAAAATGTATTTCTTTACGTGGCAGTGATACTTCCTTTTAATGATAATAGCGATTTCAGCGTTAAATAGGCCGTAGGCCTGTCGCCGATTCTTAACATCACCGAACATTCACAGCTTGTTGCGGTCTCGAACTTCCAACTCATTGCTACAATTCTGTTGTGCTTAACCGCCCGGCCTCCTTGCCGATTCTGACCAGAAACTGGCGCACAGAGCTGGGATCGAACCCGCGCCTCTCTGCTCCAATCCTGGTACTCTGAACTGCAACCACTGGGCCACCCTGCCATGCCATACTAGGTTAGAATGACCACACAACTGGTAAATATACATAACTATTTGGGCAAAACCTCAATCATTTCCCTGACTGAAAATATCGTAACACCCACATGGCAATCAGGCCACCACGGCGCTCACGTCGTCAAATTGGTGTGCAATATTGTGGCGTTACCTGGGCAGTGCACTGAGCTCACCTGGGCAGTGCACTGAGCTCACCTGGGCAGTGCACCGAGCTCACCTGGGCAGTGCACTGAGCTCACCTGGGCAGTGCACTGAGCTCACCTGGGTACCTGGGTAGTGCACTGAGCTCACCTGGACAGTGCACTGAGCTCACCTGGGCAGTGCACTGAGCTCACCTGGGCAGTGCACTGAGCTCACCTGGGCAGTGCACTGAGCTGAGCAATGGCCCAGGGACAGCCAGCTAGGGCGTCTGGGTGGGATCACTTGTGTCGGGTCCACGCCGTGACCGATGACGAGTGTCCCAGTGTCGTATTTACGCAGTTTAGGCGTGTAGAAAATACGCAGGCCGGAACTGTCGCGAACGTCTGCGTATATTGACAAAGGTTTTATGTGGCAATTTTTTCCTTTCCCCTTTTTCTTCTTGTTTACTTTTAAGTGATTCTCTTTCTTATTTACATTATAATGTCTCAATTTATTCAGCACACATTTAAGGCTCAGGAACCTTTTTTAATTTCTCTCATTAGTATACATTCCAGCACGAGCATGAATATACTTTGTACACATATAACATTGTTATAAAGATATGTGCAGTTGTAGAAAACTGAAGTAAATAAAAATAAATAAACAGGTTAGTGAGTTTCTTACTCGGGACTTTCTGTGGGTTGTTATAGTGGATCTCAAGCATGTAGTAGGTGCTGCCTTTGTAGGTCTCTCCCAGTGGAGTTCCTACGTGCGATGGCAGCATCATGCCTGTAGCGGAACAAAATACCATGGTAATAAATATTGATTATTTGTACGTGAAATATTTCCTTTTTGTTTGATGAATTTCATCCCAGAACAATGATTTAAACTAATATATATTTATATATGAAATATTTTCTTTTCATTTGATAAATTTCTTTACAGAACAAGGATTTAAAATAATAAATATAAATATTCCTTCGAAATTTTTAACATTAAAGAGTATACAGAGTAATTGCAAAAATAAACTAAGCCACTGAACATAAATGAGATAAAAATGTTAAGTAGCTTTGATTTAATTACACTTTGAAGTCACGAAGACAAAAGTTGGAGAACGTAAATCTACAATAATCACATTTACGATATCCAAAGCTATAAAAACAAGCCTGCCTTGTGAGCCAACAGCCCAGGACACAAGAGGCGTGTTACACGCTCGCCACGACAGCGGCATGTTAGGCGTGTAGCACTGAGCGCCCAGCTCCTGCACCCAGGCGTCCAGCAGTGCACTGGGGCTCAGGTGACACTCGTACAGCAGCGCGTGGTGCACTAGCCCAGCTGATGCTTCCGACACCAGCGGCGCGTACTGACAAATTTATATTAATAATATATAATATAGCAGTTTCAGCGTTTATTTGGCCTATCCTTAACATTGCAGAAGATTTATAGCTTGTTGCAGGCTTGAACTCGCAACTCACTGCTTCAAATTTTCTTTGCTTAACCGCCCGGCCTCCTTGCCGATTCTGCCCAGAAACTGGCGCACAGAGCTGGGATCGAACCCGCGCCTCTTTGCTCCAATCCTGGTACTCTGAACTTCAACCACTGGGCCACCGCCCAGTGGTTATGTTAATATGAAGAATTCTTCTTATGAAGAATTCGTTTAGCGATTTATGCATAATAGGTGGACGAAATGTATAGCATTTCAAAACTGATATATTTCCTCGTGACGAATTTTATTTGATATCAGAGGCAAGTGTTAACACCGAAGATTACATTGAATACAGGAAAGTACTGAATGAAAAAGCTTGATCAATAAATTCACTGTTTTTCGAATAACAGCTAACGCAGTAAAATAAATCGAAAAGATTGAAGCTTAGGAAATTGTTGTCGAATAGTGGAGAATTGTAATAGAAAATGGGCTAATTTCCTGAAAGAACTTAGTATTATATCAGTAATTATTTGCGATATGCTGACATGTCTATTAACGCTCTTCCTTCTATCCGATATAGGCAACTCGCAAAGAATAACTCATAAATTTTAAGCAGGTTTTGCATCATTTAAAAAATATAATTTCAATAAAAATGATCATTTCAAGAAAAATTTTATGTTTACAGTAAAAAAGTTTCAGTGTAAAAATACATCTTTGGTATAATTTTTTTACCCCGATGTAGTGATGCTTCTGTTGCAGCTCGGGCAGCTTGTACAGTTTGCACCAGTACAGAGTTGAGAAATTCGACGGTATGAGGACCTGGACAATTAGTAAACAAACATTAATCTAATCTAGTGCATTTAAGAATAGCTGAAGAATTTAGTTATGAGGTTTAAGTGAACTATGGTTTCTTCGATAAATTGTGAATATGTTATAGTAGCTGCTTGGACTAACATGTCCAGTGAAAACTCTTTTGTAACGTAAAAATAAAAAATATAACTCAGTACTCACTGCAGTGAGTGACAGAGAGCGCATTTTCTCGTCGACGAAAACGAGAAGTCACGGACGGACTGACAGACAGACGGACGGACGGACATGGCGAGTACAATAGCGCCTTTTTTCCATAAATGAGAAAATGCGCTAAAAATATATTTTTGAAATTCAATTTAATTTTGAAGTAAATGACCCACTGCAGAATAAATTTGATCTCTGCATCACATGCATAAATGGTCTCGCTTATTCACCCTCATAGTGCACTTTCCTTCCCTGGAGAACTGCATCGCGTGAGTCTAACTCATCGATGGAAAGTAATAGGTTAAAATCGAGGGCATGTATCGCAAGCCATCAAAGCTCGAGTCACGTTGAGCGCGTTTCCACATACCGGTTATTTTAGCACAACTAAATTAGATACCCTAACTCACTGCTATAAATTTGAATATTAGATGAGGGCAATTGGTCTCTGAATACATATTGTAAAATGAGACACATATGCTCTAGCATTTTCATAGTTTAAATTCAACCGAGAAATTAATTTAGAATGTAGGTGGCGATATACGAGACTGAAATTGTTTAGGGTAATTGATGAATGCAAAAATATTATAAATTTGCGTAGACTCGTGTTGAACATGAATTTAAACGTGAATGATTACAATACATATACCTGGATGCTACATTGTAGTAATTGGTCGCTGTTTTTTTTATTAATGGGCATAAAGAATTATCGGAAAAGTTGAAAATCTAATTTAAAAAATAACTATGAAATGTTGCTTTTGTTAACTTCATTATTCACTGAATATATATGTGGCACTATAGTAAACCAGCGTTGGAAAAATATGGATATGCGCATTATCACAAGTTGAACAATATTCTCATGTTGAGATATAAAATTGTGAGGTCGTAATGCTACTCCCATTATTGTTTCCATATAAACAATTTCACTAGGCCATTGCAATTACAATGATATTGCATAGAGCGAAAAAAATAATAAAAGTAATATTACAAGAACCGTGCAATACCAATCGCAATGATATTACCCGAGCAGTATAATGAAATTTAGAGATATCGTTGCAGTACGATAAAACGTTGTCTGACCTGACGATACTTCACAACCATTGAATACTTAATTGTAACGCCAGTGCAATAAAAGTAGTATCTTACGGTCAGTGCAATAGAAAGAACAATAATATTTTGCACTACCAGCAGTTGGAATTGTCAAAGACATCGCGCTTGGAATTGGATAGAAATTAATTATACGCTGCCTCCTTCCTGAACATGAGTATTGCTTCTAGTCTTGGTTCAGCCACCTGACCTCACTCATGTATTCATTCATTCATTGGCGCCTCATTAACACGTGGGGCCAACGACCGATTGTATTCTTGTGAGAAAATCTGCACAAGTTGTATTTGAGCTGAAGAGAACAAAAATGTTCACATCGCGTTTCCGTTTGGCGAATTTTTAAAACACTTTAAGATTAAACATACAAAATGATTCTTTTAACATTAAGAAATAATTATGAGTGACGTTTGAGTTATTTATTATCATGAAAAAAAACAAGCTTCAAAATTCAAGTGAATGATTTAGCATTTCAGACTTACTTAAGTTCTACATAAGAGCTTCACAACCTAATTTACCGGTAATCTATACGTATGTATAGTAAATATGGTGATATCAGCTGGTTTCGAATAATTGACCCTTATAAGGAACGAAGGCATAACGCGCATATTTCGCAAAAAATCAAGTGCCTAAATTTCACCAAATAACCGAAAAGAAAGCCTAAAAGTATTAAATAACCTATTATCTAATTAAAAATGCAACTACCAACAACTTTATCATAATATTAAGGTGGATTTTCTCACTAAATATCACTCATCCCTCTCGAGTATGGAATATAGTCTAAACTCGCAGTGTCGCATTCATTTCTGTGAACTTAAATAATCGAAGTAACGTCGAATAATTGACGAGAATGTCGCATCGAAGCCACATAACATCTTTCATTTCGCCGGAGGTACTCTCGTATACGACACCGAGTGTCATTTATGCCATTACACCTAATGCCTGACTCGCAATGAAGTGTGATACGTCTCTTACACGCTTAATTTTATTTAAGAAATCCAACATATTCTGTTATGCTTCGAAATGAATCATGAAATTGATTTCACCTCCAACTGCGTGAATTGAGTGAAGCGTGAGTCAACCTGAACTGTAATAATGAAGCAAGGTAAAGGCGAGAAAGCATATGATTGTACTTGTATAAATTCCTTAAATTTTTATATTCTTACGGGGAAATTAATCAATAATAGCAGATTAATTTGTGGATCTCCAAGTCCCACAATAACGAGTCTGTTGGTCCCGAAACCCATCATTTTAAACTAATAAATAATTATGGAACTAAGATACAGTACTTAGAGAGACCCGTTCCATACCATATTTATGGCAGAAATCTCCCGCAAGTTACGTTCTTGACTTGCAAGAAAATGTGCACTTTTCATTTTGCGAGTACTATTTATTCATGAAAATGTAGAAAAAGCTCATTTCCATTTTTAAATCTAACTAACTCCTTTTCATTCTCCAGTGTAACCGAATTCCTACATTACTCATAAATAATATAATTAATGCATGTAATATACCGAAACAATTTGAGCCCTAGTTATCAGAGGTTATCCTTCAATAGTGTGGATGTTTCGGATTAATAAAAAGCTTCAAACCACCTCAGGTTTTCTTCATTGATCGGGACGTAGAATATCTGCTGTCGTCGCAGAGTAAGGCTTTCAGCGAGTCTTTTCTGATCATAATTACGCTAGGGTCTATTTAATGGGAGAAAATAAGACCCCGGCTTGTTTATTAGGTGCGTGTGGAAGGCCGACAATTACCAGTAATAGCTATAGGGAATAATTCACGGGAATTGCACAGATGCTGTTTTCTTTAGCCGTCTAGCCTGTGGATGGGAAATCGTCATGAACCTTACTTAAAATTAAGGTAGGGCTCTCTGTCGAAACGGCATGTCAGAAAAAAATAAAAATAGATATGAGGTGAAATTTATGATTTTTTCAGATAGGATTGCTACATTATTACGAATTTCATAGCATGTTGATCGGTGATCGGCTAATTTTAAAATTTGCCATACGCTGTGTTTATGTCTTTTTGGGGTAAGTTCATTCTTTGAATAAAACAAATACTAATTAAAATATCTACGATGTTACATCAGCGTTTTTTATTTTACCTCGTGACCATCTGATGAACTTTCACCAGGAAGCCAATGGTTTACACATCCCAGACTCACACCATGGGCCCACACATCCCAGGCTCACACCAGGGACCCACACATCCCAGGCTCACACCATAGGCCCGCACATCCCAGACCCACACCAGGGGCCCGCACATCCCGTACTTACACCAGGTTCCCGCACATCCCAGACTCACACCAGGGGCCCGAACATCCCAGTGCAGGGCATCCTGATCCTGTGGTCCGAGGTAGGTCAGATGGACGTGGTCCTTCAGAATCAAGCTCTTGACGCCTCGGCCGTCGTGGTACGGCAGCGATAGGAACCCTGGCGCAGGGATCTGGTCGTCGTACGCGTAGATCACGCGAACTGTGTCCGACTGATGCCGAGAACGATCAGTTAAAAAATTAAGTTATAATGAAATAATGAAAAATAAAGTTATTTGGGAATTAAAATTAAATTTATTTGGGAATGAATATTGCACGTGGTCACTGAGAAGATTGAAAAATTATTGAGATCGAATATCAAACATTGATACAATAAAAACAATTAGCTAATCGAAATTTGACGTGATCGTTCGAAACGGTCAGTTAAAAAAATTAGGTTATTTGAGAATGAAGGTTGTGGTAATTGAGAAGATTGAAAGGTTATTGAGAACGATTACTAAACAGTGATAAAATAAAAGCAATCATAGTGGAAATTGGTCGTGATTGTTTGAAAAAGCCCAGTTAAAGAAATAAAGTTATTTATAAATGAAAGTTGTGGACATTGAGAAGATTGAAAGGTTATTGAGATCGAATATTAAACAGTGATACAATAGAAACGACTAGGTAATAGAAATTTTTCGTGATCGTTCGAAACGGTCAGTTAAAAAATTAAGTTATTTGGGAATGAAGATTGTGGTCATTAAGAAGATTTAAAGGTTATTGAGAACGAATATTAAACAGTGATGTACTGGAAGCAATCATCTAATGGAAATTTGTTGTGATCGTTTTTAATGTTGCCAAAACGAATATTCATCATTCGGGAATAGCTTTAATGACCAATTTCGCTGGTAGCAAAAAAGCCTTCATTTGAAAATGAAGAAATGTATGAATTACGTAGAAAATTAATCGTGTAATTTTCGGTTAGGAAAATGACAGTTGATTTCAGGATGAGTGATACCTATTTGGCGCTTAGCAACATTTTTCCAATTAATATTAAAAATCAGCTTACACTGATAGGAAAGTGTTATGGACGAGAGGACCTTGTACCATCTGACGGTTAATCTACCGTAAAAAACGTTCTGCCGTAAGTGTGAAGTCTCACCGTTAATTTACCGTAAAAAACATTTTGTCGTAAACATTACGTCACTCCGTTAATATATCGTAAAAAAAGAAAACGTTCTGCCGTAAACATTACGTCTCACCGTTAATTTACCGTAAAAAAATAAAACGTCCTGCCGTAGACATTACATCTCACCGTTAATTTACCGTAAAAAAAGAAAACTTTCTGCCGTAAACATTACGTCCCACCGTTAATTTACCGTAAAAAAAGAAAACGTTCTACCGTAAACATTACGTCTCACCGTTAATTTACCGTAAAAAAAGAAAACGTTCTGCCGTAAACATTACGTCTCACCGTTAATATACCGTAAAAAAGAAAACGTTTTGCCGTAAACATTACGTCTCACCGTTAATTTACCGTAAAAAAAGAAAACGTTCTACCGTAAACATTACGTCTCACCGTTAAAGGGACGTCGTGGACGTCATCGCAGGTCACCCAGGGACGTCGGAAGCGCACTATTGTGTGGGACGCGTTGCGGCCGCCGCCTACAAGCACCACGTCCTGTGACACGTCCATCATTGGAGTCCTGTTGCCCGTACCGTAACGGTCCTGTAACGGGAATGACGGTAACGGTCATGTAGTGCTCATAAAACATGTAACGGTCCTGCTGGTCGGGTATAACGGTAACGGTCATGTGGTACTCATAAGCATGTAACGGTCCTGTTGACCGGGAATAACGGTAACGGTCATGTAGTGCTCATAAACAGCAATGGATTTGTTGTAACGGCCAAACAGGTAACGGTTCTGCTGAACAGTCATAAAATGTATTGCCCTTTTTTGGTGCTGATTAATAATTAATCATTCTCGTCATTATTTTTTAAGCGTGACGTGTGTGGTCATGACACATTTCTACAAATTAACCGAAAACAAAATGGGTCTTGCACAGTTACTAATGATCGTAAGTTGCATGATTAATCTCATCGCTCCTGCTAACAAATTTAATATGACAAATATTTAAAAATAATTTTGCGGTAACCGTATCCACGAAATAATCGATCAATACTAGGAAAAATTCCCCATACCCTCTCGCTAATTCTTTACTCTGCGAATTGTGTTCTGTGAAAATTCTAGGAATTCCCTAATGTCGACACGAGATAGAAAAAAAATTGGGGTAAAATCTTGGAACAACGTATCGAGACAATTTTTGAATAACGCTTTAATTAAATTCCAGTATGTTACACGTCAGCATCAACAAAATGCAGCTTTGTTTTAAGTAAAATTGTCTATTTCTATTCTCTCTGTTTCATAGCATCTTGCCATTCTGTCTAAATTTTTATTTAGATTCAAGTAAATTTCATATAAAGGCTTTCATTTTGGTACGTAGAACTGCATCATTTCTTCCATATAATTTTCGAGAAAACTTATTTTATTATTAATTAAAAAATGATTGTGTGTGTGACAATCTACAAATTATTTCACTAGTCGCATAAAGTTTTTTGCCTGCTCGTTTCAAATGCAAGCTTCGGACCTCGTGTTTGTGTTACTGAGGCTAGCAGCCTTTAAAAATGGAGTGATATGACCCCACTCCAATGGCATGCAAATTACATAGGGCTGAATTATTATTGACATCCATAATTATATTATTGACATCCACTTATTGACATCCATTAGAGAGGGCTGAATGACCCCACTCCTTTTACACGCCCTTAAGAGGGCTTAATGACCCCACTCCACTCATATGTTTCAAAGAAGGTGAATGACCGCACTCTATTAAACAGCATTAAAGATGGCAGAATGAACCCACTCCACTAACATGCATTAAAGAGGGCTGAATGACCTCACTCCACTGACACGCATTAAAGAGGGCTGAATGACTCCACTCCACTGACACGCATTAAAGAGGGCTGAATGACCTCACTCCACTCATACTCATTAAAAAATTTTGAATGCCCCAACTAAACTCCATAAAATAATTTGGGCTGCATGTCGATCCAATAAACATATTTTACTTGATTGATTTAAAAATAAAGTGGATGATTTCACTTTGTTTAAAGCACGCTTCGATCGATCGAATCTGATCTTTGTTTTTCGATTTGATATCATGATTTTCCACACTCATTCTGTCGTAGTGTCGTTTACTGATCATTTACTGTGCTGTGTCATATCGTTCACTTTATATATCAAGTATCACATGCGAATGACTCGTGATTTGACTGATACACCAGAATGTGTTATTCATATTCCTGCACTAATTTTCAACAATATTGTATCTATAAAATTTAAATGATGATGTATTCAGGATTAAGATGGAACGATTGCGTATGATCTTATGAAATTTACAAATTATTCTACAAAAATAAGCGAAAGAATTGATATTCAGGCAAAATATTTCAAGAAACTCGAACATTTTTGCATATAATTCCAGGAAAAGCACCTTAACTCATTGAAGAAATTCGGTCTGAAATCATAACCCGACAGGAGTACTAAAATAAAAATACTTTATTTAGTACCGAATTGCACGAAAAACGCATTCGATCATTATAATCTTTTAAGGTCTCTTGGCAGTTGAGTGCAATCGATAGCATTTGATGAGACCAACAATTATGGCCTTTCTTCGTGCGGAGCTTGAGGCCAGCGAGCGAGCTTTCTAACGACGCACTTCGATAGAGCCGTGATACCCAATATTGATCCCTGAGACAAAAAGTCGAGAAAGCTTAGTTGGAATACATTCTTGGCTCAGTGTTTTTTACTCGTCAGTTCATTGACGTATGTCGAACAAAAAACAAATAATATGTGACATTTTAGGTTCTTGTCAGACTTGACAAAGGTGAGATATTATTGTTGGGCTGAAGAAACGAGGATATCATGAAATAAAAATGAATAAAGAAAATACTGTAAAAATGGACCATGTTATCAGTAAGCAATGAAATATCAGATATCTGAATGAAGCATCATAAAATAAGGAAAATAAATTGATTGATAAATGATTGCTAAACATAAATTGCATAAGTTTTCAATTCTGACTCACCGAGACATGAGCGTCCCCCGCCTCGTCCACCCAGCCAAGGATGATGTCCGCACCCTTCATCAGACCCGACGGTGAGAACCCTATCCCTACGTAGCCGCGGGTGGCAACCTATGGGGGGGAGTAAATTAACTCACACGTGTGTCCGAAGACATTTTATTATTGATTTGTTTTATAGGGTATTTTTTATTGTGGCGCCTGTCAGAGGAGTTTTTATGGGGTAGCGGTTGCCAGAGGTCCCATTTTATGGAGTAGTGGTTGCAAGAGGTACCATATTTTGGGCCGCTGCTGCCAGAGATATCTTGAACAGGAGGAGGACACCATAGGTGCTTCTATGAGGATGCATCTACGAGGTGCATCGTCTTGAAGCAAGTTTTTATTTAGGTATATTTGGAGGAAAGTGTCATCATTGGAACGTGACTGACTGATGCATGTTGATAAATGCATGGCTGCCAGAAGCATTTTGATAGATGAGTGATTACCAGAGGCATGCTGATTGAGCCTTGGTTGAAAGAAACATGTTGATAGATGCGTGGCTGCTAGAGGCATGATGATAGATGCGTGACTCCCAGAAGCATGTTGATAGTTGCGTGGCTGCCAGAGACATGTTGATAGTTGCGTGGCTGCCAGAGACATGTTGATAGTTGCGTGGCTGCCAGAGACATGTTGATAGTTGCATGGCTGCCAGAGACATGTTGATAGTTGCATGGCTGCCTGAGGCATCACTAATGGACCGGGGCTAATAAGTACATCTGCAGTGCTAAGTTAGCTTATGGGCCATTGATGCGGAAGGTAACTTTATGGGTCATGACTACCGCTGCTTTCTTTATAGGTCATAACTGCCGGAGCAATCTTTATGGGCCATGAATGCGCTGAAGATTCCTTAATGGGCTATGACTAATGGACTATGACTATCTACATGGGCAATGAATGAGTGAGGTAATTTGGTGGGCCATGGCTGTGGGAAGGATCTTAATTGACAATGAATGCATATCATTGAGATGAGATATCATTATGGGTCATGGCTGTGTTAAGTATTTTATGGACTATTACTGCGTGAGGTATCTTGATGAGCCATGAATATGTGAAGTATCTTCATGGGTCATGACTGCTTGATGTATCTTTATTATGCATCTTTCATGACTGTGGAAGGTATCTTCATGGAGCGACTGCCAGAATTTATTTTAGACGTCAGTTGCTATCTCCAGTTAACTTTTAGTGACAGTAGTTGAGCACGGCATCTGTATCGGCACGGGTCGAGAAAGATAATGCTAACGGAGTTTTAAACAATATAACGTTTAACGATAAGTCAGCACTGAATATCTGGAACAAGATTATAACAGAATAGCTTTGGTTGTCTACCTATTAGAACAGGGAAATTTTAGACTTAAAATAATATAAAGCTTCATGTGCCAAAAGAATTTTAACCAAAGATCTCTGTTCATATTGATAAGTTAATGAAATACTTGAATAATGTAAGATATAGGAACCAATGAAAAAATGAGTGGTATTTTATAACACCCCCTGTAAGTAAACCAAAAATAAAGTAAATATTCGTATTCAAGGATAGTAATAGCTGAAGCACACTAATTAAGGGGATTGGCAAGAGGTCAGATGATGTTTTGTGTACATGGTGTCTTGAACACGGCACAAAAATGTCGTATCATCCAATCTCAATAAAATTGAATCACACATGAAATTTCCAAAAATTGTTGTATCCAAACTTGATTCCGTGCATTTTACTTTAATTGAGAGTTATTCGCCATCACACAATAATTAATTTTGAGGCTGATTTCAGAGAATTGCCACCCGGGTACAGATAATCAGGTGAAACTTATCAGAACATTTGTGATAGCTCGAAAAGTATTCCCTGAAATTGCAACTAACACTTTCAAGTCACCAAACTAAACACAAAGTTCCTTGTCACACTTGAAATTAAGTACTCTTCGAAGACAAGTATCCACCAACATTATTATCATACCTGCAATTCAATAAGGATGTCATCCTCACGAGGTGTCCATGTCATCACAAATTTCCCGAAGGGGTCGAGGTTCACCGAGTGCAGCAATGGTCCCGCCTCGTCTTGGGCCAGAGACAGCGATGCTCCACAGAACAAGGCGACCAGACACACCAACCTGACATGCCATGCTGGTCAACAGAAAGTGACTGTAATTACATTTATATCGTCGAATATACCCATAAAACCTTACTATTATCTTACACTCTACAATTACTCTACTATTATCTTACTCTTACTCTCTATACCTACTCTTGAAGAATTCAAGCATTCTAATTTAATTATGTTACGATGATTTTTTATATTAAAGTAAAATAACATTACAGAATATACCCATAAAATCATACTATTATCTTGATGAATTCAAGCATTCTAATATTATGATGTTTGCTGTGGTTACGATGACCTTTGCATATTAAAATCAAAATAAAATTACAGAATATGCCAATAAAATCATGTTAATATCTTGATAAATTAAGGATTCAAATTTTATTATGGTTACGATGACCTTTGAATATTAAAATCAAAATAATTTTACAGAATATACCCATAAAATCATACTATTATCTTGATAAATTCAAGCATTCTAATTTTATTATGGTTACGATGACCTTTGCATATTAAAGTTAAAATAACATTATACGGAAGATAGCAATAAAATCATACTTTTACCTTGATAAATTCAAGCATTCTAATTTTATAATGATTACGATGAACTTTGCATAGTAAAATCAAAATAACACTGCAGAATATACCCATAAAATCATTCTATTACCTTGATAAATTCAAACATTCTAATTTTATAATGTTCACGATGACCTTTGCATATTAAAATTAAAATAATATTATACAGAAGATACCAATAAAATCTTACTTTTACCTTGATGAATTCAAACATTCTAATTTTATAAAGGTCACGATGACTTTTGCATATTAAAATCAAAATAACATTACAGAAGATACCCATAAAATCATACTATTACCTTGATGAATTCAATCATTCTAATTTTAAATGGTTACGATGACCTTTTGAATATTAAAATCAAAATAAAATAACATTATATTCATTTCTAAGTGAAAAAGTTTTCTAATTTCTAAGTGAGAAAAATAATATTTCTAATTTAAAAATTAGAAAAACATTTTCTAATTTCTAAGTGAAAAAAATGACGTGGGCGTTTTAGTGGTATTTTCTTTTATTTACTCGCAAATATTTTTAACAGAGAACACAGAGACGCGTTTATTCCCTCGCGTCCATACATCAACATCGGAGGTCACGGGCGAGCGCTGCAGGACAAAGCCCAGCAAAGTGAAGACAAACAAGCGATTTTCCTGCGATCGATGAGACATGTTGCGTGTACTGGGCTACCTCATTGGGAACTGCAGTAGTTTTTTAGGCTGCCTGTAGTTTGACATTCGGAGGCCACCTATACTACTCCTTAGCCATTTTATTACAATTAATTAGTAGAGGAATTTTATATAACCCTTAAAAGGCCAATGAAAGGTTTCACAGTCAGTTTAAGCCGCACACCTTCCACCACACACAAAGTGCAGCGTGCGCGCATCCTTTGCCACTAATGAAGTATCTAATGCATTCAAAGTCCATAATTTATTTGTAATAATATGGTTAAGACTGTCAAGTTCATCAGCATTAGGAAGGATGTTCTGATGAGACTCGGCCAACTCTCGGCAGCCGATAAGTAAGGCGCCCCTAGCTGGCCTCGAAACATGTGCTGCAGCAGCACCATGGAGGATGCTTCTGTCAAGTTAGCTCGAGAGGAGGCGAATAATAGCAGTTGTGTACAGTTTTTTTGTGATAACCGTTATATGTTTGCACTTATTTTTGCTAACCAGGGGCCATACTTTCAAAAATCGCTAAGTGAACGTAAGTACTTACGCTCTATTTTCTTGTTCATGATTGGTGGATTTTGCTTGAAAGGCCGTCAATGATTGGCTAATGAACTTACGATCTCGTAACTTTTTTTGAAAGTATAGGCCCGTATTGTTAACTATTAATAAAAAACTTTAAATCTGTACCCCCGAAATTTATCAATCTGTTATTATTTTTTAATGGGCTATGAAAGCTACTGAATTCGAATGCCCGGTCATGTTTTGAAGTAGGTTCAAGCTCTGCTATGCTTCTGCATTCAATAAACTAGGACCTAAGATCATAGAGTTTATTAGAAAATCTAGACTAAGTCTAGACTAGAAATGCATGCTCTTCTGTGAACAATGCACAAATGAAATTATATAAACTCTTGATTGAATATTCAGTTGAGGTCAAATAATTACCTAAAAAAGTAAACGATACAAAATTTCACCGATAAAAGTGAAAGTCGAGCAAAAAAATTTCCGACTGGTATACTGCTTAGTACACCATGTATACAGTATCCACATTTTTATATTAAAGGTATAGTGTAAGTTTGTAGGAAAATTCTCTACGTTGCGGACTCGATCAAGTTCACAATTTACAATTTCCTAATATCATTTGTGAGGGTGATGAGGATAATTCGATTAAGTGGTATAATAGAGCGAGTACATATCAGATAAATTGTCCAAATTCAAATGAAAGGACTATTTAGTTTCAATTCATAACACTTTTATTCTAGGAGAACTAGAGCATTTAGATTTGAAAAGACGTCATTACCAGAAAGAGCCTATCAGTGTTGAACAAACAATTGCGCGGCCTATGGCGCAGTGTGTCAGGGGCTGTAATATCAGTTGCGACCATAAAGAAAATAAGCCTTTTATCTCCTGCATAAGATTTGCTTTGTGAGCTTTATGTAATACAGGCCATTGCGCCCATTAAATTTCGAGGGAGAATTTTGTTTAAATGTGGGTTGGTTGTTATGATTATCATCACGCAATGGTTGTCCATAAGAAGGTTCTAGAATAAAATTTTGTACGTCGTTTTTAAATGATAGATTATTGTTCAATATAAAAACTGATATTTTGTACGATAAATGTGTCTGAAATGAATAATAAATTACATATTAATTTATAAATCTAATCATTTTTCATAATTGGAACACTTGAATATGAATTTACTTTCACCATTCTATGCCATCATGGAAACTGAATTAAATTGAACCCATTGGTTCTGGTTAAATAAAAATATTAACGGGATAACTATTATTGCGCTCACATATTTGACTACAAACAGTTTTAATATGAAACATTTATTTCGCCCGTTAGTGAAAAATCTGGGTTTCATTATAGCTGTGAATTGAAAACATTCATGTAACATTAATTTTTGGCAATTTGTAGAAACCGTAGCCTCGACAGATTCTCAGCCCCACTCACCGGGATCCGTGGCGAAGAGCGACATCCTAACACCGTCACGTCCGCAGACAAACTGAGGGCTCGCCAACGCTTCATACCACAATAAAATCATACCAACCCAAAATAAATTAACCATGCTTATAACATTCTAATCTTTCGGTTGCGTATAGTTCGTACTTACATTGAAACTGATAATAAATGCATAATTCGATCTACGATGCACGTACTGTGCAATGTGTTATAGCTTGGAATCTGCTAGAATCAGATTAATTGCAGAAAAAGGTATTTATAGAGCGAATAAATTAGTTTTTTAAATATGTCATATATTCCTTGCAAGCAGTTTTGATTTTCCTCATTAATTCATACCGTAAATGTTCCATTTCTAAAATATGTTCGAATTAACTATTTTTAAACACAGGAATAATATAAGTTTCACTTCACGCTGGGCCAATTTTCGAGTTTAGCTTCATCGCGCGCAGTTCGAAAGGTTAAAAAAAATAATTTATTTTGTGCAAGTATTTTGTAAAGTGTTAATTGAATTAGTGAATCTAGGTTACGCAATCTTAGACTAATACATTCTTAACGGCTACGAGCGAGGGCGACAGCTTGCAATGTTCACACCGAAGCAGTAAAAACTCAGTGAGAAACCTTACAAATATTCGAAGAATTTTGACTTGCATAGAAGTACAGTCAATAATAATAACTAGTTACCATCAAAAAAGTTCTTGACATCCATCTATGATGTTTTTCTTCATTCTATATATTTAAACCGATTGCAAATTATACACAATTTTTTTAATGTAAATCCGACAGGGGGAAAAATGAGCTCAAAAATTAAAAGGACATCCTGATGCTGGTTGAAAATTAATATGACGATAAAATTTTAAAGTAAAAATTCAGAAATGCTTTACATGAACTAAAATATATTGAATTAACAAAAAAAGATACTCGTAACATAAGGAAAGAATCGATGTGAAAATATCAAGAAATCAACCGAACTCCAAATATTGTAAATCAAGCTACTTAATAGCTTCATACATTAGAGATAGATGTTGTCGAATCTACATGCTCTTCTTTGATAGCCTTTATTGATTCCATTTGCTATTTCCACAGTTTTCATTATTATACAATTTCTGTTTGGTTTCTCTCAGAACCATTTAACAGTTTACACCATCTTCTGTTCTCGATTCCTGCTTAGACAAGGTGATTAGGTCATTATTCCTAAGACATTTATTCTAGGCTCAAATGCTTCTCTTCCACTTTCTGTACATGCCTTTTAGTGTAGTTGTATGTGCATGCATGCATTTCTTAGCAGTTATCTCTGCATGCTTTTGTTTGTAGTTATCTGTGCATGCTCTTCTGAGTAGTTATTTGTGCTTTCTGTGTAGTTATCTGTGAATGCTCCTCTGTGTACTTTCTGTGCATGCTCTTCTGTGAAGTATTCTGTGCCTTTTATCCAGTAATTTCTTTGGGATGTTGCTTTGCTGCCACGCAGTCTTTCGCTGGAGCAACGTACGGCTCGAACACAGGGTAGTGATGAAGTGATGGTTCCTGTGAAATAGAGGCAGCTTATATATGAATAATTTGAAATATTGCTCCAGCGAATAGGTATAAAAATGTGCCAAAATGCGTATTGAAAGATTAAATACGCATTGAAATACGATTGAAATGCAAAATGCATTTCAATGCGTATTGAAAGATTCAATATATGATAATCACTGCCTTCAAGAGAAACTAAAAAAGTCTTGGTCTTCTTCATCTAGTAAAGAAAATTTTAAAAATCATTCAGCATTGTGTAAAAATACTTAGATAATTTCATTTATTCACACTGTAAATATAACCCTACAATTTTAAAGTTTACGCACAGCCAGCTGCTTCATTTTGGAATCGAGGCAAAACTCCTGCACGAAAGTAGAGTCGCTGGAAGCGCGCTGGAAGTCTGCCAGGATCTTAGGATCCTGCCACAAGTTCCTCTCGTTGAGCAGTTGAAGGAAGGTCATGTTTTGAAGTGCTGGAAATAATTCGAAAATATTTGTTTAGAATCAAGATACTAGAAAATTATTCATGTGGCAAGATGAAAATTTTAACATTTTTAAGTTCAGGAAAGCGTACTTCTCATATTTCCCTGCTTTCTGGCATTGAATATACATACCTGTATTATAATGATCAGCTGTGTATTATTTACAATTTACACAATTTTTTTCTTATTATTGTATTTAGGGTCCGTTAATTATGAATTACAAACCGTAAGGTTCCTTTATTATGGTTTCATTCCATAGCTGGTAGAAAATAATATCGTTTACGTGCATGTCTGTATTTTTCGAAGCAACCATTTTGCGGTACTGAGCCTCCTCCATTGCTGCCATGTTCTTCATCCTGAAAATTTCGAACCTCGATCAAAAAAAAATCTGAAATCTAGTATATTGTTACCCATAACTTCATTCACTGACCTCACCGGATGTAAAACATTAGTTCAAAGATATAAACCCTGCATTCAGCTATGTTTCAAACGATATCAATTTGTTATGACCTTAATATTGACAATTACAGTATTTTATTCACATGAATTATTATTATTAAATATATTAAGAAAAAGATATTCAACTCGAACTTTAAGTACATATTATGGATATCGTATTATATTATCAGTATAAGAAGAACCAAACTGTTTATATATGTATATTTGGGCGTCGCGATTTTATCTTGATTTTCTACAATAGAACCAAACGAGTACTAATCTTACCTTTCTTCTTGGCTGCCAGCGCCCAATGCCCTGAAAAAATGTATGGGTGTTAAGACAGTGGGACGGGAGGCTGTAAAATATATAGTCTGAAAAACTCTCATCATTTGATTTCTGAACATTCACTATTTCCTCAACGGCATCCGAAATAAAAATGTAAACTATGCAACCTTTTTCATGTGGAAATTGTTGGAAATTTTCATGTGGAAATGTTGTGTGTGAAGGAAATAAGAAATAAATGTGTATAAGAAATAAATGTGTATTAGAAATAAATGTAGGAATTAACTTCGTTAATGTGATTGAATTTGATAATTAATATTAAGCAAACGAACGTATAGTTAGCATTACCTAATTTACATGAAAAAACAACAAATATAAAGGTAAACTTTTCGAAATAAGATTGTTGATTAGAATAAAATTTCAGAATAGTTTCTATCGGTATGGTGAATCAAGAGAGAAATGGGTAAAACTTCAACTCTTTTAAATTAAAATTTCTGGTTGCTGACCTATTCGGTAAACTCATTTTCGTTCCGCCAGTTTCTGGGTAGAAGCTCTCGACCCCCACGGAGTGAAACACCGCGGGCATGTCAGGCTCAGACTGGCACTTCGAGAGGGCAGGACGAGGGTAAACTGTCAGGTATACAAGACACATCTCCTCGTTGGTGCTTAACCCTCCCTGTGTGGGTAAAAATGTGCTGTGAATAAAACTCACGACCAAATTTATTTCCATCCATAAATAGTCTCGGTAGATGTAGAAATATCTTATATGAGTATGTTTTAAATATACATTAAGCGAAGTAAATCAGCAATTAATGAAGAAATTCGATTACCGGACGAAACTCTCAATGGGAAATTTACAAATAAATAAAGTCAGAAAGCCCTGGAAATTTTCCGTCATCGAAATCTATCCACATCAAAAAAATTACACATTTTTTGTATTTATGGAGTATAAAAGACAGGTCTTAACGAATGTGGGCTGCAGGCGATGAGTTGAATCATATGAGCACGTCACGATCAGATGATCGCCAGGCAAGATCGTGACTTCCTTCGCCAGTTGTCGTTTTTGCTGGTAGTTGAAGTCGTAGTGATGATCTGTACAAACGTTACAAGTCCGTAATCGTTATTTGAAGATGTTCTCTGCAAACGTAGATTTTCAAAATATTTATTTGTAAAGTATCCAAAAAGTTATATTCTTGCTTGTAGATGATAAATTTAAAAAGGTTTTGAGTTTTTTAAAAAAAATTTGTAATCATTGAAAATATATTTCGGAATTTTGAGAAGTTATTAGTTAAAATATTTGGGGAAGCGTTTGGAAATTTGTATTCAAAAGTTATTTTACAAATTTCTTTTGTAGAACTTAAAGGTGCTTATACACGGGGCCATAAAATACCATAAAAATGTCATTTTCACCAGCGAGTATAGGAGGAAGTTCTTTGCCGTCACGGATGTGCCTGAGAGTGACAGCGCGGCCCAGGAGATGTGCGTGCAGGATGCCTGCCAGCACTTGCAGCCCTCCTGCTGGCAGAGCCTGCAAGTACAACAATGTACATAGTTAGTTAATCAAATGCAAAAAAAGCAAAATCTTACCCAAAAACGTTCTTCAGAAAGCCTTACGTTTGTTTCATGTTGGAACAAAAAGTTTATGATCGAAGAGCAAGAAGAAAAGTTCCCTTTCCATACAATGAATGACAATTTTATTTCATAAATTACGAAACAAAATTTAATTCTTAGTTATGAAAACAAAGTATTACCCTACAATTGACATAATTTTGTCCTTATCTGTACTTAATTTAATTTTCAAAATCATTAACGCATAAAATCAGACGATTAGAAATATCATAGTTTAAAATAAATTGCAGTTCCCGGCACCTGAGAGGTGCAGGCTGGACTACAGTGCCCCACAGCCCTGAATTCTGCGCTCTGAGGCGGGACGATCAGGGTTGGGCGAGGCGGGAGCCCGAGCTCCAGCGTACCGCTGTCGTGCTGCCGCAGCGTCGACGTGTAGAACAGACGCAGCCCGCTGCTGTCGATCACATCTGAGAGTGGGGGGAATAATGAACGAATAATTACCGAGAAGAGTTATTACTAGAATTATAATATTACTAAAATTATAATATTACTATAATTATAATAACGTAATTAAATTTAGAAAATGAAAAGGAAGAAAAGGAAAAAAACACAACTATTGACCTAGAACCGAAAGAGGAAAAGAGCATGGATTGGTTATTCAATTTAGGTTTAAGTTTTCGGCCACCAATCCGAACGTATGAAAATTGATATCCAAAGGCTTCTCTCGGAATATTTCATCGGTATAGAGTTCAATATTGTTTTGGTAAATAAATTTACAATAGGTTCTTTTTTCAATTACAAAGATAGACTTCCTTTAGCATCTAGGTCTTCTCTGGTATATTCTTTCAGTTGTGCACAATGTGCATCTAGCTACGTCGGTATGACCGCACGAGCACTTTTCACCAGAGCTGCCGAACATGCTGGAAGAAGTTTCCGTACTGGGCGTCCACTTGCTCAGCCGCCTCATTCATCAGTCAGACTTCATACAGAACAGTGCTCACTTGCTCCTCCCGTGTCCATCAATCAATTTAAAATTCTTTGTACGTAACGCTAGCAGCCAAACCGATCTACGAATTTTAGAGTCTCTTTACATCCATAAACTTAACCCTAAATTGAATAACCAATCCAGCTCTTTTCCTCTTTCGATTATAGGTCAATAGTTGTGTTTTATTTTTCCTTTTTTTCCTTTCATTTTCTAAATTTATTTACTAAAATTGATTTCCATGTATTTCCAGATGTATTTTACTAGCTGATGATGGGCATAGCCCGAAACGTTCTGTTTTGTTTTAAAATGTTTTATGCAACTTTTTTAGTTTTAGCCTTTATTATTAAACTTAGAAGAACTCCTCGAGATAATGTAATTAATAACTAATAAATTTATAATAATAATATATGAACTGTCGTTTCCAATACTAATATTAGAAGCGTAGTTTCTAATAATAATGAAATAAACGCCGTTACTTTAACCCATAAAAATAAAATATGTGTTAAAATGTTTGTGATTGGATTTATGGATGAATTTGAAATTCATCCCAGTTTTTTTTAAATTTCGTGGAAATTTAGAAAATAAAATTGTCTAAATGCGTAGAAAATGTCATCACTAATTGATTAGTTTAATCATCGTTTATTAATAAGTGAGAAATAATTAATATATTTAATATAATTATTAATAATTTTAAAAAGTGAGAAATAAGTGTAACTTACGTTATCCCATGTAACTTTCTTTTCAATTATAGCTTGTCTTAACAATGTAGCTGCTACAAAAGAACCAATAACAACGCCTCAAAATTGATTATAATGGATACCACTATTTGCCTTATATTATTGTTTACAACCTAATTATTTACTTGCCTACATTATTAATGCATTTCAACTAGCACAATTAGAGAGAATAAGTGATAGTTAAAAGTTATTAGCTGTCTCCGTAGACATAGATTTTTTATCTATTCGGAGAATTTGGGCCTCTCACTCTCTTAATTTCAGTTCTTAAAAATAAATAACGTAAATGGATCGTAATGAACAAAAATATTCTTTCAAATATTTACATAAATTCAAAGACACAAAACGAGTTATATCACTGATTTTCGTTTAAGTTTAAGTTTATTTCCTCACCAGGAGTCATAGTCGGGTTGTTGTAGTGGATTTCGAGCATAAAATATGTTGCTCCGTTCCACTCTTCTCCAAGTGGCGTGCCCACGTGGGGTGGAAGGGCCTCTCCTAGTTCAACGAGCAATAAGAATAACTAGTATTGCTTCCTAACCCGGTAAATGACAATAAAAATATAATTTTTTGACACGGAAAACATAAAATTGTCAAGAATATACGGGATGAGTGTCAGCTTATTAATAATTTCATTCTGAACTCAATGAAAAAGGATTTGATACAAAATTTTACAGAAAATTCATTTTGAGATCAGGTGAAGCAAAATTAAATGATTCAGTTGAATAGATTTAGCTTCCTCTGATATGTAGATAAAACATTATCATTTGAAAAATATTTATTTCGTACCTAATATTGATTACTCTGACAACGCAATGGTCACGTGAAGAGTAAGATTAACGGAATTAATAAGAAAAAAGGTTCCGAAAATCATGTTAAAATTTTTATGCTGAATTAAGAATAGGCGCAAAACGGTAACTTCTTGTTGAACATCAATTTATTTTATAAATACGGGAAATAATTGAGTGATATTACGAGAATTGCAAAAATCATAAGATAAACTTATAGCAATAATTGCATAAATTCTTTTATGAAATACTGTTCCTTCCTACCTTCCCCTCCAGTCCCCCAAGCCACCAGAGGGCGGCCACATCGGTACCAGGATAGTGGCATGTCAGGTCCGTAGCACTGCACGCCGGGCTGGTCCACGTAGCGCTGTAGGCGCGACGAACTGTCGTCGATGTGACATTCATAGAAGAGCATGTGGTGTACGTACTGCTTGTTCACCTTGCTGATTACAGGTTCCGACTGAATAATTGCAATTATTAGCATTATTAATTAATAATAAGGGTCGATAAGCTGTCGTCGATGTGACATTCGTTCAATAGCATGTGGTGTACGTACTGCTTGTTCTTCTTGCTGATTACTGGTTCCGACTGAATAATTCAAGTAATGGCAATTGCATTATTAATTAATAATGACTCAAATTGTTATTATTAATTATATATTCAATGCTCATGTTGTTGCTCACCCGGAATAAATTTTTGTTCACTTTCGCTGAAATATTGGCCCGTATGCTAAATAGGGCACTAGCACTACGAAGTTGCACTACGCATTACAAGCCGTAGTGCCTACTATAGTGCGACATGGAACACTACGGTTGGCATGCTAAATAGGGCACTAGCACTATGAAGTAGCACTACGCACTATACAAGCCGTAGTGCCGTACTAGTGCGACATGGAACACTACGGTTGGCATGCTAAATAGGGCACTAGCACTATGAAGTAGCACTACGCACTATACAAGCCATAGTGCGGCATGGAACACTACGGTTGGTATGCTAAATAGGGCTGAAAGCATAACGTGCACTACAATAATCTGAAGTGTCCTACACACCGCACTTCACGACGACACTACGGTATATTTAACCTTGTTTACTTCGTCAGCTATGGATCTGTTTGGCTTACAGCAAAGACATCATCGCGTAAAAACCTTAGGAACTACATGCCATGAATATATAACAAAGTGTAACGCTTCAGTGAATAACATGTTATTCGTATGGCTGACATTTTCCTTGGCGAAACAGATGAACAGCGTAGAAGTAGAAAATACTTTTCTTGTTTTTTGATACAATGTTTTGAATTTTTTTTTTTAGTCATTTTGAATTCTTCTGCAAGAACTTTCCATGTTTCTCTCTTTTGTTCGATGTCTTTGGGAAACGTGGTCTTTGAATATACTGTATTGTGGGAAAGGTGCGCAGACGCATTGCGAATTTCAGCTCACCATCACAATTTTCACTAGTACCATTATATACCATCACAATTAGACATTTTACATCAATCTTCTGCAAGGAATTAGAATTACTTGGGGAATAATTAATTATTTGAGCACTTAACTACCATTCTTCAATAGACTCATAGCGTAGTGCGGCACTATAGAGTACTCTAACAGCGAAGTAGCACTTCAAAGTCTTTCTGCATACGAATCTGTAGTGCGACACTAAGCGACACTAAACATTCTAGAGCTACTTCGAAGTGCTTAGTGTCTGTGACGTATTTAGCATACCAACAGAACACTTCGTAGTGCATAGTGCTACTTCGTAGTGCTAGTGCCGTAGTTAGCATACGGGCCATTGTGTGCTCAAGCTAAGTTTCATATATTCAAGTAGTAAACTACAGTTGGTACCGATTCCCTTATATTAAATTAACTAATATCAACGATTATTGTTAAAATTAATTGTTCATTACAGGCCTTACGACTCCGGATTCTGTTGTAAAATAGAGCTTGTTGAGTCATTGTGATGGAAATTAATCCTGCTTGTAAAAAAAACACTTACCGCAATAAAGTGATGCTTGGTGCGCAATTCTGGCATGCGGAAGAGCTTGCACCAATACAGCGTGGTCAGGTTGTTAGGTAGATGAACCTAAAACAGCAAAGAAAAGTGCACGGTAATTTCAACAATTAAATAATGGAAAATGAGAGACACATAGGGATATTTTTTGGAATAAAACTAAAGTAAAAAAGAAATAAATAAGTGGAAACGAGAATACAGAATCTGATCATTTCTTAATGACTTTGTTTTGAACACAAAAAATAACGAGATGCAAAGTCTCCCGTCTTCATCATGGTATATTGAGTTGAAACACAAGTGGCATTGATGATATACAGACAAATTATAATTAATTAAGTGGATGATAGTTTTTTGTGTTTGGTAATGGTTTGAAACACCTTTAATTCAAAGACTAATGATTCGCGGGACAGTAACACATGCCTAAGGGAGCAAAATTTTTAGAATACGTGCCAAAAATGCAATAATCATGGTGTAAGATATATTGTGAGATTTTAGCTCTGGTCACTGACACAGGCACGCCAACGAGGTCTCGATTTCACATCTTTGTCTCATTTTCAGAATTTAAAAGCTACCATTTCCTGATAGATTACGTAGCGTGACATCTCATTGACACAGTACATCTAGTCTAATAAGTCACCATTTTCCTCTGTTTGACACAATAACACATTACAAAGGGTAATATCCTCCTTATTCTTTCTTGACGTAATGACCTTATTCCTTATTCTTTCTTGACCCTTATATTCTTGACGTAATGACCCACACTAGATGAAGTTCACATGATAAATAAGAATGTCAGTAAAGGCCAAAGTTGTTGTTGGTTTAGAACGCTGACATTCTTATTGTTCTATTATTTACCTGATGCTGCTGGCCTATTGCAACGGCTTGCAGGGACCAAATCGATCACGAAATGTCGAGGAATGTAAAGTGTGACAAAACCTTTGTTCAATTATCATTTTTAATGTACATAGAAAGTTATATAAGGTGGATAAGAAGAAAAAAAGATAAATTGAGACTGCTGCCCGTCGTACAAATGAGCGTTACTTTCTCTCTTACGTATTTCGTGCAGGTGAAGCTGAGTGGTTGAAGAGCACGCCTATATTGCGATTATGAGATTTTTGTTCACATTTCTTTTGCCAAAAATTCATTTCCCTGGAAACCTTAGGACACAAAATTCACTTCAATGTCTTAGGAAGAAGACTAAACTCACATTAGGAGCCAAGACTTCCCAGTGCAAGACATCTCCTGAAGCTGGAGGCATCTCCACCGGCGCCTCCTTCAGATAGAGGCTCTTGGTGCCGCGGTGGTCGTGGTACGGCAGATTCGGCGCCGACGCGTCCGGGATTTCGTCGTCGAAGGCGTAAATTACGCGGACTGTGTCGGCCTGAGAACCAGGAACAAAATTGAACCTTTTTATGATACATTGTTTCGATAAACTTCGATATATTTCCTCACAAATTTTCCCGCCATCACTGTCATATGCCCGAAACAAAAACATGGAAATGGGTTGGTTACGAAAGTCGTGGTAATGGGCAGGTCAATAAACTCACGGTAATGGGCAGGTCACGATACTCACGGTAATGGGCAGGTCACGACACTCACGGTAATGGGCAGGTCACGATACTCACGGTAATGGGCAGGTCACGATACTCACGGTAATGGGCAGATCACTTTACTCACGGTAATGGGCAGGTCACAATACTCACAGTAATGAGCAGGTCACTTTACTCACGGTAATGGGCAGGTCACGATACTCACGGTAATGGGCAGGTCACTATACTCACGGTAATGAGCAGGTCACTATACTCACGGTAATGGGCAGGTTACAATACTCACGGTAATGGGCAGGTCACGACACTCACGGTAATGGGCAGGTCACGACGCTCGCGGTAATGGACAGGTCGTGCAGGTCGTCGCAGGTCACGACACTCACGGTAATGGGCAGGTCACGACACTCACGGTAATGGGCAGGTCGTGCAGGTCGTCGCAGGTCACCCAGGGGCGGCTGAAGCGCATCGTCGTATGGGTGGCGTTGCGGCGGCCGCTCATGAGCGTCACGTCCTGCGACGCGTCCAGTAGCGGCGAACCGTCGCCTTTGGCGTAGCGATCCTGGCACAGGGGAACGCATTAATTAAATGGATTATTAAACTATGATTAAGTTCAATTAAGTATATTAATTATTGAATATCGTAGTAATATAGCGACTTATACCAGTAATTAGAAATGCTATGAAAAAAGCGCACAGATCTAAGTTTTTAAAAGTTAAGCGTGAAAAAAAAAGAATAAAAAAATTCGCAAAAGTTTATGTATACATTTTTCTTGCGTTCAAAGGTAAAACAAAAATTTGGTCCTCAAAATCCAGTTTTATGCAAGAATATAACCAAAATCACAGAAAGGTTTGTTTGCTTTGAATCGACTGCCTATTTTTGTCAAGGAAATTTCAAAGAATTCTGTGGGATTAAACCAAAATTATTCTAAATTGTAATTTAATTTTCTCAATTTTCAAGTCTTATAGAAAACAACATGGACTGTAATAAATAACCAATAAAAGTTTAAACAGCTTAAATAGTCTGAACTTTTCTCAATTACAATGGAATGAACAGGAATTACTTTTTGAGTAACAACATTCCAAACTGAGGTGTCATCTACGCTTGACTTCAATGGAGTAATTAAGTTGAATTTAAATAATACTTGTTTTCAATCATGAACGACATAGTCGCATAGATGGCGCTCAAAGCGCAATGTCACAGTCCTCTTCAGACGATCCCAGCTTATCACTTCATATATTCTCATCATTATGATCATCATCATTACGCATCTTTGTTCAAACATTAACACGCAAGTTACTGACAGTGAGAGTGACGTTCCCATCCTCGGTCACCCAGCCCAGGATGATGTCGGCTCCCGTCATCCCTCCTGTGGGTGAGAAGCCGAGTCCTACATACCCCAGCGCCGCTACCTACGATGACGCAAAGGGTTGTAGAGGGGAGTTATTAAACGCAAACTAATTAAATTTCAATTAGGCAATGGCAAACATATACGCGGTATTATAAGTTGAAACTTCAATAACTTTTGGGTTCCAAATTAAGTTAATCAACAACAAAATTTTCGTTAAATCCAATTTTAATGAATAAGGATAATAGGTATAAATAGGGGCATTCCGAAATTTGTATAGGCATTTGTAAGTTTGAATTTACGAATACAACTGAAGCTTCGGCCTCAAAAGACCTTACCTGAACTTCGAAGATGACGTCATCGTCCAGAGGCGTCCAGCTGAGGACGTAGCGGCCTTCGTCGTCCAGCTGGACGGAATGTATGAGTGGTTCATGCACGTCCATGTCGGGATGATGGCTGGTGCCTTCGTCCCTCACGTGACGATGAAGGACATCGTCGTCTGCGTCAGGATGATGGCCGGTGGACAAGGCGGTTGCCACAGTGCAGCACAAAGCCAGCAGTGTCGCTGCAAAGAAAACTGGAGACAATTTCATTTTGCATCCATGAAAGAAGGAAAATTCATAATATGAATAATGCTCGTACCTCATATACATATTTTAAATGGGGGCAAGTAATTTAAGAATTTAAATAATAGGTAATTGAGGCTTGATTATTTCAAATACAGTTATGGCGTTTCCATGTTATACGTGGCTAGGATTACATGCCTTCTCAACGTCACAGGAATCTGTTGAAATAATAAGTCGCTTATGAGTACCAAAAATCAATGCAAAATACACCTCTAGGCATATGTTTTCTAACGAGCATAAGCAATGGGTTCAACAGATATTCATCGTTTAAAAAATTCGAAAATTTTCTTAGCACCGTAGTCAATCAAAAAAAAAACATTTTCATGAGATAGTTAACATTTTAACTCAACTTTTTAATTATATTTCAAATCTCCTTACCTTTGGCCCCAACTGTCAGCGCCATCTCTGGACGGCTGCGCACTTGGAACTAACATCGCACTCTTCAAGGGCCAGGTAATTCCAGTGAAGGTTATATAGACGATCGATTCTCTGCCGTCAACGACACAATGGAATTTATCTTCGACAGCCACTCCGTAGGCCGGCTGAAACACGTGCTAATAATTATTTATTCAATAGAACGTTTATTAGTTGAAGAATTATTTCGACATTTAATTATCCTAATTTTTTACGAAATGACCCGGCAACTGATTAAAATAATTTATTCGATTAGTTCATCCTCTTTATTTGAATAACACAATGATAAACTCAGAAATTAAGGACCATTATCATTGGGAGCTTATACAGTGGGCTGCAAATGTCAATTCAAACTTTGTTCTTCATCACTCGCCTCACGTCCGGACAAAAGCTTGGCGTGGTCTTTGGCATATCAATTGATACGATCGGTCGCGGAGCTTGCACTCTTCGCGGCTACAAGCATATTTGCATTGGTTTGCTTCATGAGTGGATGAACTTAGCTTTGATGGAGCTCAGGATTGCTAAATCACGCAATAACGTCCCTACCCAATGAAACGAATTTTATAAAGTTTATGAAGAAAAGTCGAGCGACGATTAATGACTGAATTGGTTGAATACCAAAGTAGCTAAATACTGACAAAATTAGGTTAAATGCCCGAATACGCTAAAACTAGATTGTGATTAAGAAAACTTGCACCTTGATGATCAAAGTGTACTGTGACATTTTGCGTGACCAGAAACAAATTCTTAAAAGTTTCCCCAAAATTGAAACATCCCTTATGCAAAAAAATAAATAAATTTGCAGCTGGAGCAAATATGTAAGCCACCTACATGCTAATGCTTTTTGATACGTAAATAGTTCATCAGATATGATGAAATTATTCTAAATTGGACGTCAACGTAAATGATATGAATCTGAAGACAACAAAATTAAATGTGCACTGTATAATGAACTACGACGAGGAATATTCGTACAACGTCCTTACGAATATTCCTTAGAATACAGGTGAGTTAATGAGTCAAGATATAATAACGAAGGGATGCAAATTGTGATTTTAAGTGGCATTTTACGTTACTGAAATTGGCCTGTGACCGTATTTGCTATCATCGTTACCATTGACCGTATTTGCTATCTTTTTCCCATTTTCTTAATGGACTTTTCCTATTTTCCACCCTTCCCCCCAGTCATTTCAATATCTAATTCACACAATAGACAAATCAGAAAAATAGCGTCTAGACCTTTTATTTTTTAACAAATCGAATATTTTTTCGAAAAAATATATTTATCGAAAAAATCGATATTTTTTTAACAAATCGAATTGTATGTCTCTCAATGTGGTAGCTCGAAAATCATAAGAAGAGAAAAATTTTTAAGACGACATGTTTTAGAAATTGTAATCGTTCAGTAGAGCCAAATTAGTAAAATGTAAGTAAACGTTAAAAAAACTTGCTTGTTACTGTATCTCCAGCTATCGCAGCGCCTATTACTCGCATTGAAGGTAATATCATGCTTATCGTTATCCAGACTCGAACAGTTGATATAACAACAATATAATAATATAATATAACAACAATATGATATAAATGAAATAATTCTTTAAAATTTCTTACTGTAAAATATAGTCATAAAATGCTCACTTTAAATAAATTAAAAACTATCTCACACAAAAACTCAGCGCGCACATACGCATACGGTAAGCTGCGTTAGGCGCGCCTTTTCCGCAATAACGAAATGAGCCTCTAAAACGGAGAAGTTATTTTTTTCAGTTTCTGATATTGACGACCTCCTTAAAGTCCTTCTTCACTTTCAATAATTTCCATCGTCTTCTTCCTTCCAAATATAAAGTTTGGAGAGATAACATTTTTAATAATTCGTCATGCTGTAGGGAAATTTCTCCCTTCTAGATGTAAAGCTAATATTTCAGAAGGATCAAAACAAATAGAGGCCAATCGAAGTAATTTAATCAGATGTAATCGTTGCTTGGAGTTCAGTTTTAATCCCAGACTTTATCGTAGGTCACTCGAAATGTAGAACAATTTAGAAGTCCAGGCGGTCACGCAAGACAGAAGCCGACCACATGTATACTGTACGAGGAAAGGACTTTTACTAACGCACTTGAGGACAAATACTGCTAAAATATTCAATTACGGGAATTCAACGATTTCATTTCAAGGTAGAGCTCACCTTATTAATTAAAAAATAAGTGCACTTTTAATGCTTTTGGAAGTGAAGTTTAACAGAAGTATGCTGTTTGCAATTTTTTGATTAAGTTGAAACGCGGCTGCAACAATGGTCGCAAACCGCACCACTTAAACAAATTTAATGGTCGCCACTGTTCCACAAAGTTAATATGCACCACGAGAAGTGAACACTTCGGCATTTCAGTTATAGAGAAGTTAAGGTCAAGTTAAAGATTTAATGGAACCCGCCAAACAAAGATTAATAGTTAAGAATTTAAGATATTGGTCAATTAAGTTTAGTTTCACGTTAGGCATTTAATTCTTTAAGAGGTAATTAACACAGAGCCTGACGAGCCTGCCAAAGTGTTCAAAGCAGGTGACAAACGCATGCATCCAAAATAAATCAGTAACTCGGCAAAGGTTGTGCACAACAAAATAAAACAATTAGTTATACACGAGAAAAATGTGGCGCAAAATCAAGATCAATGGAAACAGTTAGGACGGCGTATAACTGCATGAGATACGTAAACATTTAAAGTAACTGAATTTGAGAGCTGCGCCTCTGTCTTATATAGACAGAGTAAGCCCTACTTCTTCGTTGTAATTTTCAAGTAGCCAGGTTGGGAAATTTTCCCAACAATGCTGCTGCACCATGGTCAAATTGATTGAATTTAAGCAATATTGAATCATGTGGATTGTTTTAGTAGTTACAGCTATTTACTAAACAGCCGTTACAACCGTTACGTTTACTACAGCCGTTACAGCTATTGCTTATAATAATAAGAACAATCTAAGATCCAGTTATTAATAATTCATTCATTTTTTATTAGGAATATTGAATATACTAGCGGTGCAGCACTCGTTTGTGTTGTCACTTGCACAAGTTACGCATTTTACGCCGAGTACGAAGCGATATATATGTTTATCATCGCAATCAAGCCGTATATGCTTTCAGGATATTATACTGTATTGTTATTACAAAGAGGACGCCACCATTCTCAGAGAATTAAATGCGACTCCGATTCTTGAAATATCTTGAGCAATAATTTAGCATGATAATTCATTTCTTTTATTTGGCATCTTCCGAAGGAATCACAATCTTAACTTCTTGCCTTTAAAATTACTATTTTGAAAATTAAAATTACCATTAATATTCTACCTGGCATCAAATTTTTTTAGTTTCCAAATATCTGGAATAATACTAACAATAATAAAAATTATCACTAAAAATTTATTCAATGACATCACTTTTCTATTGCGAAAAGGTCACGAAAGAGAAATTTTCTGGTTTTGTCAGGTAAACTTTTTTTCACAACTCATTCGCTTCTCAAACGTTACTAAGACATCTAGTCTGACCCCTTGTCGTTACATGGATCGGTTCCAACAACATCGATGAACACATGAGAACACAGCTAAATACAAGAGAAAACAACTGAATCCGGATCAGTTCACAGATCAGGGTCACAACTGACATGGGAAACTATTTTAACCTTAATCTGTGCACAGGCGCCTGAACACAAAAGAACGCATCTAAACGCAAGAGAACACGAACACAGCTTCATGCGAATCCATTCTTACATTGCATCACACGAACCTAATAACTTTGATAATCACTAATGTTGATGAGAGGAAATTTTCAAGAAAAAAGTGGAAATATAAAAAAAGTGTCAATGTCAAGAGTACACAAGTGGCGCAATGTATGATTATGATTTTCTCATTACGAAAGTTGATGTACTCTGAATTATGGAGAACATTTTAGAAGCTAAATAATATAGGTTTAAAAATTACTTTTTAAAGACAACACTTCTAAAGAATCCAGTTTCTCCAATGTTAAAGAAGTACAATGAATTTCTCATTTTATTTTCAAATATTAAAAAAATTTATTCTTCAATTTTTTTTAATTATAAATTTTTTTTTAATTATTTATTCTGTCAATTGATTCATGCATTGCCTCCGACTTCACAAGAGTGTGCAAAAGTTCAGATCAATTAGACAGGTAATAGTGTGTCAAATATCAGTTTTAAGATTCGTAGCTGACAAAATTATATTTTTTCAATTTTTTTAATATTGAAAAAATTTTAATTTTTAAAATCATTTATTTTGTCATTTGATTCTTGCATTGTCTCCAATTTTACGCAAGTGCGCAAAATTTCAGATCGATAGGATAAGTAGAAGTGTGTTAAATTTCGATTATAAGAATTGTAGCAGACAGACAGACAAACATCCAAAAAAGAAGTGAAGTTAAAGAGAAGTGTTGTAAAAAGAGAGTCAAAATTAGTTTTTAATGGAACAAGGTACAGTGATGGGAAACGCTTAAACAAAATTTTTCATGTTACGGATAAAATGTCTTCATATATCCGAGAAGGAAAATTCTTAATGTTGATTTGGCAAAAATGCGTTAGGTAGTCTTTGAGTTTCTCCAAGCCATCATTATTAATGCATTGGTGACATCGCGTGAACAAGTTCTTTGAATAAGTTGAAAATTATTTATACCTTCGTCGGTGCGGCTGCATAGAATGAAAAAACGAAATGCGCTCAAGCCAACGAAATTCTTCATGCACCAGAAGTCTATATCAGTTAGCCTTAAAAATTCTCCTTGTTTCCAGTATTTATGAACCTCTGTCACCGCATACCTCATTTCAGTCAATCTGTTATAATATACATATAATTATAATGTGTTATTAGAGTAGTATAAGATTTAGTGTAACAATATGGAAGAGGTAGTGAATTCTATTTAGTAAATCAAGCGCAACCATGTCTCAGAGTTTCTATAAACCTATTCCTTCATGGACGATAGACTGGATGTAAAAGAATTCTAACTCGACTCTACTAATGCATAGGAAA